TGTTGATGCATGAGGTGTGATTCATGTGAATCGTATTCAAACCGCTTTTCAACAACAGGATTCACTTCGCATTTCTTTATAATGGAATATATTTATCGGAAATATGATAAAATATTGATTTAAATTTCCATTGATTTTAAAAAACCTTAATCACTATGTTTTTAATTCTCTTGATTGTTAAAAGAGAACGTATATGTACACTTATACGTCAACTTCAAATGGTTTCTAAAGAATAATTAAAATATCGAAATGTAATGTTTCTTATATTAACGAATACGAGATCGTAGATTGCAACCCCAGAACTTATTGAATAACTTATTAAGAATTGGTGCTGAAAGCTCAAGTATATTTGCTGCTGGTTGGATCTCTCAGAAATAGCATTTGACTACAACAGAAACATTGTTTGCTTAAATGAAATTTAAGCCCTTATTGCCTGGTGAGTACACCCGATATTTCTAATAATATAGGAAACCTCAACTTTTTTGATAAAACTTGACACAGATTGACAGAAGGGTCATTTTGAAGCGTTCTGTTAACAAATAGGTCAAACAACGTCAAAAATGTTTTTCCTTACCGATATGGGACCAAAATATTTTATCTCATATCAGCACAGTTTATTCAGTATAATATTTGCTGATGCTGCAATAATTTAAGTCCTTTTCAAAGGATCAATCGTAACAACTATATACAGTAATGGAAGAATTTTATTATATGAAGATTATTAAAAAACTTTGAAAGTAAGAAGTTTTGATTTAAGATTTATTAATACCAATAACAAACCCTTATCGATTAGTCATCGTTTCTAATATGATAGGAACGAGTTCTAAGCCTGGTACTTATAGTCCAACAAATTATATACGGAGTATCAACTAATTAAATAAAAATTCAAATATTTTCTAAGATCACTGATGATCACTGAAGTACTTAGCATACTCGAAACAGCTTTGTATTACCAGCTAAATTTCAATAAAATAATCAAATTTTTGTTGTTGTTTCTTTATTACTGTTCGAATCCTCCTAATTTTCTTTTCATCATAAGACGCGTCATATTTGACAAAATAATCAACACCAAACCTTTATTCCTATTTATTATTAAAAATGCTAATAATAATACGCAGCTAATAAGATCTCTTGTGAAATTCTTAAGACACGTCATATAGATTAATGTGATATAATAAAAATCATTAAAATTTGTGCCTTAAATTTTATTTTTAATATATACAATCAACAATTCAAGAAATTGAATTTCAGACTCAGAAATAAAATTGGAAACACAACAAACGAATAATACTTATTTCAATTTTCCCTTCTCTATCTATGGACCAAGTAACTATCAATCCTTATATGTTGCACAGAAATGCGAATGTAAGAGGAAGGAAAACCATTAACCGTAAACCCGATTTCATTATAATTCATATCTCATTTCACTATCTCTGTGGTAAACGACCCCGCAATCTCTCAACTTACAACTTCGTATGTAAGAGAAAGGAAAAGCATTACCTATGCATACACTTTCTTGATAATACAACATCGTGATCGCAAATTTAGAGAATACGGATTACTAAAAAAGCAACTCACTAAGCAGGTCATTGCAAAATGAGGTATCTTTAAGATAACTTGTGTTTTTCTGTCACTCATGAACATCGAGAACTAAAAGCAGATTCAATGCAAAAGCCCTGCTTTGGACAAAGGGATTAACACTTAAATACAGATTTCTATAAATTCTTGAAGAATAAAATTAATAAATCAAATCTTTACAGAAGCAGTTAAAAACTAAAGCTATGCTTGAAAGATCTATTCATAGCTAAAGCTATTATTATGAAATCATCTATTCAAGAGACAGTCCTTCTTGGCCTTTAATAACAGCCATCTATTTACAGTCATTATTAAGTGATTTTTGCATTTTTTGTTTGTTATATGAGTATAGTTTTATGTCTAGTAAGCTCATACCACTCCATTGAAATGTATTTAATATCTCTAAATAATTTGATATAAAAAAAAAACAATTAATTATAATTTTACTACAAAGTTTAATTATTTATTTTTTGTTTTATTTTTTCAAAAGAATGCAGATTTATGTCTTTTGGTGTATGACAACTTTCCAAATATAAGTTTTGTTATAATTTATATTCACTGGAATATGTAGCAGCCTTTAAAAATGTCAAACCAAAGAAAATAATCTCAAAAAATTATGTTCATAAATTAAAAATAGGATTTATGCAAATGAAGCGCATCTGTTTTTAATGTCAAGTGCATTTACAATCAGCTTATGCTGAAGTAAATAGATTTATGCCTATGTGCATGTCGACAAGAGATGGGGAGTGGGGAATATTTCAACATATGAATTTTATAAACAAATTAACCTCAAAAAAGATTTTTATGATGAGTGCAAACCCAAATTTTATTGCCTTCACAAGACTCAAATTGCTTAATTCTCTGAAACGCCCATCACGCCCATTGTTGTCCGCCCAGAAAACAACACACAAACATTTCAATTATATTTTGTATACGAATTTAGTTAATCTCTATTTAGATCACAATTACACGCATTTAATTTTACGTTCAAACGATTCATCTTCATTACAGGTCTTGCTGCATCATGTGACACATTGCTGCTGGCTGAAATGTCAGTGTCACGTTTTCATCCGATTATCATAAATAATGGTCAAGTGCATAATAGTACCCTAACGAGCAATAGCGATGAGCAGAACATCACCACAAAACAGAATTTAACAGAAAATTATGGTACCAAAAAATTTAACTATACCAAATCTTCAGCAACAACCTCGTCACCATCCGCTTTTGCATCCACAACTGCGACATCATCAACATCAACATCATCATCAGCAACAGGAACAGCAACAGCATCAGCTACAAATGCAAGTGCAAGTGCAAGTGCAAAATTGAAACGAACTCCTCCATCTCAATCCCATGCAAAAACGAAATCCTCAAACAAGAACAACGACAACTCAACCACAAACAATGAAATCATTTACAAATTCTATGTGCCCCGCAACATCGGAGTAGCCACAGCACGCATCACAATTGCTCAAGTCTGTCTGCAGTGTCCGGATGTTGGATTTCATATACAGGCCAATGCACTACCCTCATACACATCTAGTACTAGAAAAAATTATGAAAGTAATTACATTCACAGCACAATCATCAAGCCCAATCAGACAGGCGAAATCTCGATCGAATTTTACGTGCAACCTAACACATGGCACTATGCACTCCTTAAGTTTGAGAATGCAGTAGGCGACGCATCAAGTTCACTGACGGAAACTGATGCAAAGCTGTTCGATAGACTGGCAACGAGCACATCTGACCTACGATTAAGGAATATGCCAACAGCATTTACATACGGTCAGCGGCAAAGAATACAACAGCTACAACAACAACAGCGAGCTCATAGACGTCAAAATGCCACTGATGGAGTGTCAGAAGCCAATGAAACAATTTGGTATCATTTGGTATACTCATTACGAATCGATTTTCAGGAACCAGTAAACGAGGATGAAAATGCAGATTCAGATGCAAACATAAGCAACAACAAAGAAAATGGCGCAGAAAACATGTCAACCAGCATTAAAACCTCGCCGAAAATGGCTGCAACCAGTGAAACCGATACCAACAATGGAACCAAAGAATCAGGAAACAACACAACAGCGAATTCAAAATCAAATGCATGGAAGCCTGTGATTTTCCGCGACATGGAATTTTATCCTCTTTTACGTCAAACATATCGTGAATTTTTTATGTTCGATTACGATCTCGTGCCTGATTCGAATGGTACGGTGCCAACGGTACTAAACCTTACAGCAGGTATACCAGCCGGTTTTGCATTTGAAATAGGTGAGGTGTACGATATTGGCGGAACGCTATCTTTTGCTGTGTCCATGAAGCATGGGTTGAAAGGTTCTAATGAACTGAAGAGCCTACCAACAATGACATCGCCCACAGAACGAAGTGGAATTTTAGCTGAAAAATTAATTGGAAGACCTTTTGGCCAAGATGATGATGTGGTGGAAAAAGAAGAAAATAAAGCACTTCCACGTAGTAATCAAACAATAATTGTATGCATGCATCATGGTGAACCAGGTGAACCGACATGGCCTGATAAATGTCGTTATGGCAGAAAATTATATCCGGCATCAAGCATAGTGAACAACACAGATTCAAATACCAGCACTGGACTTGTGCACGTTCCTTTTCCTGAAAGCGGACAATGGTATGTAACGATGGGTTTATATTGCCACGGAGCCGAAACTGCGGCAAGGGTCACAATCATCGACAGCGTCAAAGACTTTGTCAAAAAATATGGAAACATGCTAGATGAAATGAGGGCACCGTGTGCATGCGCAAACAGCGCCAACTATTATCTAACCTGTATAAACGACCGCAAGTGTTTAGCATCTATGAATGAGACAGAAACTTTGAAAATAAAAGAGTGTCTTATGGACTCAAAATGCACCTCAAATTATGTTGAGATGACAAGAAAATTTGAAGTACATCACAAGTTTGCTACTGAACAACACTTTGCGCTTGATAATTGTAACTCTTCAGTTGTGTTCACCATATCTTCTAGCCCGTGTGTAGCAGGACGATGTGGACGTTTCGGACGTTGCTATCACTATATGTCCGGCGGCTTTGTGTTTTCAACTTGCGTTTGTATGAAAGGCTACCGTGGATGGGACTGTACCGAAGATTCACAAGTACCTTCCAGTATGTCTATACTGCTTGCATCGCTACTCTTAACTCTAAGCAATTTACTCTTCTTCCCGAGTATTTATATGGCAGTTCGACGAAAATATTATACAGAAGCAGTCATTTACTTCTTTGCAATGTTCTTTTCAATATTTTATCACGCATGCGACTCAGGAGAAGATGAGTATAGTTTCTGTTTGGTAAAAATCGGAGTACTACAATTTTGCGATTTCTATTGCGGGCTGTTAGCCATTTGGGTCACGTTAGTAGCTATGTCTCATGTGCGTCCTCAGTTCGTATCTCTACTCCATATGTTTGGTGCAATTTTGTTAGCCTTTGGAACAGAACTTAACAAACAGAGCTTGTGGGTATTTCTCGCACCAGCACTTACTGGCATCTGCATAATATCTGTGAGCTGGGGACTGCGATGTCATAAATCCCGTAAATGGTTTCCAGCACGTAAATACCTTACGGTATATATGCCAATTGGCACTGTACTTGTGATGGTCGGTTTAGTTTGCTATGCATTTCTACAAACTAAACAAAATTACCATATCGTGCACTCAATCTGGCACATGGTTATGGCCTTAAGCATCTTGTGCCTATTGCCATCACGGAAATCATTTATACCAAAATGCTAGCATTCGGCTTATACGCGAGAATTCCTACTCATCGAACAGGAGTTCTACATGTGAACTGCAACACTTTGACGATGACTATGAATGCGAAAAGGATGAACTCATGCAAAACACCGAAGAGAGCACCAATTTGGGTTTAGACGTTACACTGTTTTTGGCAGACTTACAGATGTAAACACTAGGATTCTCATTTAGTTTAAGTGCAACCAACTGGTTATCAATAGTAAATAACAAATGAATATATATTTGATATTTTAACACAATTAGAACTGGTGCAGGCAACTGCAATTGCTCACCACTAACCCCAGTGAACTCAGATACTCTAATCGAGTTCGAGAATAATGAACATAATTTACAAATGTACACAATTGCTCATGTCGAATATAGTAAACTAAATAATTAATTACAAAAGAGTAATGCTCATTAGCTTAAGTTGCTTAAAGGCCGGCATATAAACTTTTAGGATAAAATAATTATATTTATTGTAACATATATATATATATAAATATAAAGCATATATAGCTAAAGATATATTGTATGTAACATTCAACCTACATTAGCTAAGAATTAATTATATGTAATAAATTATATGGTAATTAAAAAATTGTAGAGCTTTATACAAAATACTATGGAATAGTTTTAAGTAATGTGAATATTAAATTTGAGGAATGTAAAAAAAAAACAAATGATTTAATATAAAATATGTTAGAAAAATTAAATATAAAAAGAGAAAATATACAGGCATGATATTGCAATTTATGAAGACACTCACATGTGCTCTCTGTTAATGTAAATATGGATTGCAGGTGCCGCTAATACTGGAGGAACACTTGTAAGGGCAGTTAAGTGCAAGTTCACACACCACAGCAGACATAAAATTATGACTAACAACAGAATAAACAACCTCCACCTCCCTAGGGTGCAACATATTTAAATAAAAGTACATGTAATAGGAAAGGATAGGATGATTTGTAAGATGTCTGTACAATACTTGTAGATAGTAAACCAATGTTATATGTTCTAACACTCAATCCTTGTATATCATAAATTGTTTTTGTGTATTTGTTAAAGCCAAATAATACCTTTAATAATAATCCTTTCGGATTGCAATTTTGTTTTTAAAAAGATAATGCTTAACATGCTTTTACCGATAAAGCAAGTTAGATAGTGAAATAGTCCTTAATCTAATTTGCAAGTTTGAATTCCTGAAATAAATGTATCTAGTATCTACTTTAATTTGCAAATGTTAAGTTTTTGTGTTCATTCATCTACATAAATAAAAATTATCTACTCAATGTTATAGAATTAATAACTGAAAATATTAAAATATACAATAAATTCGTGTGAAGAGGATAATTAAAAAAAGTACTAAGAGTACTAAAAGGTATTAAAAAATAAAGAGTACTACAATATTATCTATAAGTAAGTTCCTTAAAAAATTCGCTTCAGTGCATTAAATTTATATCTTTTCAATATATGCAAATGATTAACTATGATTAACTTCTATTGCTATGAATATTAAGAAATATTAATTTTATGCCGTTTTCGATTTCTAAATCTAGGGTAACTTTTTGAATCAAGATTCACTTTTAGTGCAATTTTCATTTTAGATGGGTAAATCTCAAGAGAAATGTATAACACTCAAGATTAATTTATAACACTCTAGATATTTTGCCAGAGTAGCAAGCTTACCCTGAAATTAACAACTGTTTTATATGACTTGACTGATAAAGTGTAATTTGAGTCGATATATAAATTTATGAGTATAAATGTCTGTTACCGCAACTACAAAAATATAGGATTACTCTAAAAATTTTTGATTAGGCAACAAAATTTGACAGAACGAGAATGAATCTAGATTGAAAATTAGATTTACCAATTAAAAACGTCATTACATTAAGACTACTGGAGATTTTTACAAAAAAAAGAATATTTTATTTGTTCATATATATAAAAAGAATAAAATATATTTACTATTTTAAAATGTACTGCCAGATGTATGACGTTATATTATTATTATGAAGAATCCTTGTCATAACAAAGTGCTACTTTCGGGGGTTTATAGTTACTGCCTTAATTAACCACCGTTCACACATTAGTGCAAGTAAATTTCGCTTTGCAAAATCTGCAGACATTATTAGTGATAATCCCTAGTTTATTTAGGTAATAGTTAGTCTTACAAAGTTCTGTGAATGATCCTGTTATAATTGTCTATAATTCTTGGCCTTCATTAAGTTCAAATAGTTCTTGTATAGACTTAAGCTGCAACTATCCCGAAATCATTTGGAGTGTACTAAATCCTGTAGATTGTCCCAGTAAAAGTTTTTTTATTTATTTATTTTTTTTCTTCTTTTCGTAAAAGCAGGAAAAAATTATTCTTTCCAGGTTACAAAGCTAAGCTATTGTATTATTCACCTAACTTAAAAATATATAGTCTTTTTCCTTTACAAAATTTTATTTATTAAAATTTAAACTATCATCAAAAAGTATATACAACAATTTATCTTATTAAAGATAGGTTTGGGTATGAGTAACCAAAAAATCATGTTTTAAAATGTACATGTAAGAAATTTAATGTTCCACTTTCTTAATTTCCAAAAACATCTCAAATATTAGCCGTAATTTTTTCTTTCAGAGTAACAAAAAATTATTCGCAACTTACGAAAGAAAGCATGTGAAGCAACAACAATGCTCTTAAAATCTTGAGAGTTAGGTTTTACTCGCAAAAAATTTAAGTCTTAAGTTTCAATGTAGCCAAATTCATAAATCAGTCTATTGTGAATATTTATTGGAAATATGTTGCAAAAGTTGAGTCCATCGTTGAAATCATATGAGTATTTTACTTACTAATAAATTAAAATACATAAATAACTTAATTAATTTAAATGTTTAAGATAAAAATTATGGCCGAATGTTCCCCTGGAAACGTAATGGAATGAAGAAGAAGTTAAGATAAAAATGCCAACCATTGCCCTTTTAATATTCATTTTGTTTTCTTTTATTTAAACTAATTAATTTTTATTGTTTACATTTTTTATATATTATATTGTACACAACATAAAAAACATTTTTCATATATAAACATTTACCATTTTTTAATGGTAAATTTGTTTCAACCAGACTTAATGCTGTTTTTTTACAACTCTGAAAGAAAAAATTACGGCTATTATTAAAAATAAATCATCATTTATATAATTTGTAAAGACTTACAACAAGAAAGTATAAAACAATTAGAAAAAAAATTTATAATATGTAATATAATATACTGTGTTTTATTTGATATAATATATTTATATATTATATTATAATGATATAAAATAATTTCATATTTCATGATTTTAAGAGTAGGGAAATTTTTTACTTCATTATATTATTTTCTGCTGAGTTTCATATATTTTGTTATAGTTTATAGTTAATTCTTAAACATATATAAAAATCTTTACAAGTGAATATAATTTATAACAATTGATAATTAATATAATATGCCTTGAGGAAGAAGGTAAAAAACTTCAGAACGTCGTTGACATTTCATAAAATACATTAAATAATAGGATTAATTTCATTCTTGTGAGTTTATTTTAATTAACTTTTGTTAAACATTCCTTTAGTTAGCGTTCTTTTCAGTACTACTGTTTCAAGTATTAAATATATTTTTAAGATATAATTATTTCAAATATATATATGACAGCATCCATAACAATTCAATTTTTTTATATATAATCAGAGGAACGGTAAGATGTTATTATTTAGTTCCTAGAACTTTATGATCTGCTTTCCAAAACCACTAGACCCCGACTACAAAATGTTGCTTAGCACTTCTGTCGAAGTTCACAAACAACACTTCTTCAGAAACTGTGGAACTACAGTAATATATGATATTAAGTTAATTTTTTTATATCCTCTTATAGTATATTCTACTAATCCCGGAATCCTGGAATTATGTAGTATCTATAGTATTTATGTAATTGTTCTTAAAATTAATAAGGAGCTTACAAGGTTGCTAAAATAATTCTATATACTATTGTTTAATCTAATTTAGCTATTTATTTATAAATAAATTTAAATTTATTAGTTGCTCTTAGGAACAGCAATTGTAAATGTTTGTAAAATGCACAAAAAGAAAAACTAGAATTGACCAAGGTTTAATATATATAAATATATGTGTGTATCTATATTTTCAAGTTAAGCACCTATTATATACGTATATATTATATGTATGAAAAATATATGTTCAATTTATTTTTTAAAAATAAATAAAAAGAAAAGCTACAACAGTTTTTTAATTAAAGGTAAAATTATAATAAAATAAACAGATCTGAGGTCTGTTGAAGTGATAAATAATAATCTAGTCAATGTGCAAAGAGGGGTTTTGAAGAAACCTCACAGTTAATAGACAGGTAAAGTGCTCAGGGGTACTGACTCAACTAGCCTTAACATAATAAACATTATTGCAATATGTTTATTGTTTATATAATGTATACAATTTTGATTTATTATATTATAATATATATTATTTATGTTATGGAACAATTTTTATTTTCCTTATACACCAATAAAAGGTTTGATATTTAAAGTTTTCTGATTTGCATCAACCTCTAAGATTTAAGTTCCTTATATGATTTTATTTAATTGTAAATGAATAAATTGTAAAGTCTATCAATTATAATAAAATCTAAGTCATATGTAAGAGAAGGAATAAAAATCAGAAAAAAGAATATATGAATACTTTTAAAAAATGGTCCAATAGCGGCCATATAGACATTAGGAAGCATTTTAAATATTGGAATTAGCCGGTCTCCTCGTACGATAAGAGATAATATTTTCTTTTTATTGAACCCGATAATTGGGTTTAAATCTTTCTATTAGATTGATATAAAGATACTTCTTTATTTCAAAATACTTTAACATAAGTAAAAAACATAAGTAAATCTTTCTATTAAATTCAACACATTTTACTATATCAAATCAATATCATAAATCAATTTACTCTTCTCTGTCCTTATTCATTATACATTAACTTGTACGACAGAATTGTTCTCTACTAACTACAACAAAAATTAATATCGATAAAATTATTATAGGTAAGGTTTGCTTATCTTTAGTGATATATTTACTCCACTAGGCATTATTTAATGATTATTATGAAACAAATATTAAACTGAGAGGTTGTCAGATAACATAAAGAGAATATTTCCGCAATTTTTATGCCAATCAAAACAAAACAATCGCAGAATACTATTAATTAATACACTTAATTGTACATCAAGAAATTTTAAGACTATTTGAGACTTTTAGCCTCATTCCTCTGCAATACCATCGCTCTACTACTTACTACAGTATTTATTAGAGCTACATACTTTTGGAGTAGACCTTCAAGTTCACACATTTTTAAAGTCAGCGACTTCGATGATAATGTGAAAATGGTTTGCAAACGATGGTTTATAAGCATATACTATTAATTAAAATCGAAATTACACTTTAGTCATATATATGTATTTACAATAATTTATTAAATAAAAACATCAAATTTATAACTTACTTTAATAGATATAATTAAATTGTAAAATCACTGTCATAATAGGAAGATTTTAAAATGCTTAAGTTCTATAGCCCATTTCGCGTTCAAACTGCGCTGCGGTTAACGATCCTTCAATGCCTTTGCAATTTTCATTAAATACGCTATATGCGCTTAATTCCTTGGAGTGTTTTGGACTAGTCCGTGTGTTTAAATACATTCCTACTAGCGCAGAGATTATTAAAAATACAATGCCAAAACCTAGTTCGATAGCGATTGCGTACAGAGTTACCCAAAACAGTATATAAACAATGATTTTGAAATATTTAAAATATTTGCTTTCGGATTCGATCTCGGTTTCTGGAATGTTCGATTCAAATTCAGATTCACTCTCCACTTCCCCGCTATCGTTATCATACATAACATTATTCTTTATTAGTCTCTGATTATTATTTTTTGTTTGTGGATGCAATAATGGTTGTTTCTGCTCATCATCCTATTAAATGAAGAATATTAATAACATTTATTTAATTTGTTTAGTATATAAAACTTTGCCTCTATGAGAATTCTTGATTGTTTTTCTTCCACGTCGGCTTCTTTTGTAACAGCTGAAATGATAAAGCTCTTAACTGCATCGCCAAATTTCTTGAATCTTTCTTTGCGTCTTTGTCTTAAACGATATTCATTAAGTTTACCTTCAATGTTTTCCATTTAAAATTTTCATTTATTTAATTGAAATTAATTTGATCCAAATGTTATTGCTTGCTCACACTGAAAATTATTGTAAACAATAAATAAATTTATTAAAACAGCTGCACTCATTGTAGAGTTGCCATACTTACAATTTGTTTTTCAATAACTATTTGTTGAAAACTTCGTGGCAATCCATATTCAAAGCAATTTTACACATATAATTATAGTATAATTTTTCTTACATTTAGCATATTCCAATTAAATAAAACATTTTATCTCTAATATATAAAAAAAACTCAATGCAAACTATTCGAAAAAATTATATGCGAAGTGAACTTTGAAACATTGAGCGGTAGATGGCGCTGCTCATTGAAACTAAATATCATATACAGAGGTCAGTATAACATAATTTTAATGTCATCTCATACCAGTTATATTAATTTTGATTCAAATCGCGTAATATATTTTTTAAATATATATTTTTATCAATATTTTAAATTAAATTTTTTTACTAAAAATAATTTTAATTGAAATTGTTTTAAATTTAAGAGTATATAAATAAGTCTGTCGAGCTACTTGTAGTGACTTTGAGTAACTCTGTGTATACACAAGTGCAAATAAAAAAAGCATCTGAGATTTTACACAGATTTTACTTGAACAATTTCTTTCAAGTAAAATTTGTGCTAAATTAAATCAGCTGTTTTGGTTTAAATCTAAATTTTTGAATTGTTTATTTACGCGGCTCTGGTAACAGTAAAAAAAATCTGAAATTACAATTGTATTAACTGTTATACAAAAAAAAATTGTGAAATGGTTCTAAAAAACATAATAAATATTTCATTAAGTGAACTAATATAAAGTAAAATATAAAGTACTTAACACACTTCGAGACTGTGAGATATATCTGTAATAATAACATAAAATATATATTTTATATTAAATTTAATTACTAACAGTACTTTAACTCATTTCATTGAAATAAAATTTTAATTAGCATAAATTTATTTTAAGTAATATTTAAAAATATTTGCGCTTTTATTTTTTAACTTCTGTTTATACTTTTTCATTTTTCAAAAAACAACTATTCTCATCAGACTTTACACAAAGCTTTTCAATGAAAATTTGTAATCTAGCACTTTATTTATGTTACACTCTTAGTGTGTACTGTACTTGTGCTTTACTCGAGTTTTACTACGAGTAGCTCGTGGAGAAGACCTAATATAAATAATTTCATTATTCATTACAATTGACTCTACATAAGTAAAAGTACTTCTGAGATGTTAGGTCTTCAAAAGAAAATATAAACAATAGCAGTAAACGTTTTACATTATTCTTTGTTTAAATTATTGTCTCAACTCGACAAATATAGAATTCGTGTATTTTTATACAAAATCCATCTAAAAATATAACAAGTAGTATGAAAAGTTGTACTTGTTAAATATTGATTTGATATTACGTATTATACTTTTATTCTAAAATTCGTCCAATTACTTATTGCTATTTCCTTTAATGTAGATGTTATTATAAAAAATATAAAAAAAATAAATAAAAAAAAAATTTTTCATTTTTAAAAATACTCAACAGGCCAGTGTTAGTCATAAATTGTTTTCGAAAATAAGAGTTATTCATAATTTTTATATATAAAAGGCAAAAATAATAGTTATTTGTGCGTTTTAAAATAAAACGCAAAATGTCAGAGTTATTTCTGCGTAAAATAATAAAAGACACATGATACTAATTATTTTTGATGAATTTAATTAATTAAAATTAAAATATTATTTTTTGACTATTGTTATAAAGTGATTTTTATTTTTTTTATGATAACTTCATTGAATATAAGTGTATGTAGTCAGATGTTTTATTTCAGGTAGGAAGCTTCGATCGTTCAGTCCTCTCTTCAGTACGAAGATGTTAAAAAAACGTACCGCATATAACGTACCGGTAGCAATAATTTGGTTTCTTGAATCGAAGAGTATTGATTAATTACCATTAAAATGCAATTAAATTTTATCACGTGAATTAGAAAACAAATCATTATTAAACAATTATAAGTGTTATAATTGTTACAGTGCTCTTGCTTTTATTACAATTATACATATTATAATTGGAGAATTTAGAAATTGATTAGTTCTTTCAATACAATGAGCCGCAGATACAGCTTTTCCATGAATAAATAATATAAAATTTTGATTACTACTTCATTTACTCTTAACTCTTTAAGGCAAGTACTATACCACTGTTGATCTACATAAATGGTACAATTATGAATTGTCTAAGACAAGTAAAATAATACTGTACACCTTGTGACATACTTGATGGAATCACATATTCTCTAAACCAATTACTATACCACTATTGATCTTATAACATACTTGTAGAAAGGTACAACTTAACTTTAGCATCATCAAAAGCAATTCTTGATTGTCAGTCAAATTTGAAACTATTAAATAACAGTAATTGGTTCTGCATTCGTTTCATGCATAAAAGAAAAATCGAATATTCTAGTTCTGCAGTTCGTGTTCTTACTGAAGTACTAACGGGGCACTGTACCATTGCGCCTATGCTCTAATGATGGCGAGTTCCAACAAAAGGATTATGCAGGAATTGCTAAGATGAAGAGGAGGCAGAATCTATCAACCACTTTCTGTGTCTCTGTACAGGACTGCAGACAAAGCGACTTCAATATCTTGGGAATCGCTTTTTCACTGCTTTGGAGAAGATAACGAAAGCAAACTTATCGGATCTACTCAACTTCATCTGCAAAACTAAGTGGTTTAATAAGGATAACAAAAGTTAGCAACTCACCTCTTCCGGCACAACTTTTTAAGGGCATCACAATGGGGAATATATGCCTCTGAGTGGAAGTGCTAACAATTGTCAGCACGCGCTTTCTGAACTTAATCCTAACCTAGTTCTTTAAAAACTATTTCGGTTTCCTGTTCGTAGCGTTAAACAGTAAAATTCATATTTATTTCGGAGGGTTCCAAATCAGAGATTAATTGTTAATTCAACTAAAAAATTCAGTCTTGAAAGATAAGGAGGTAACCTATAAATATCAATTGAACAAAATAAGGTAACTGCCAAAAAGAGGAGAACCAAATTCATACCATTATTAAAATTATATTAAAGTTAAAAACTATGATTAAAATAAAATAAAATAAAAAAGATTGAAAAATTTAATTTAAACATATATTCTTTATTAGATTAGAACATATTAATGCGATATTTTATCTAAAATATTTTTTTTTTGTTTTTTCATTATAATAATTTTAATAATATTTTTGCACATTTCAGCAAATTCAATGATTTTTAATGAGTAAATAAAATAAAAAAAGGGGTAAAGCCCCTCAAAATGAGTGAGAGGAAAATGCACTAAAAGCAAAGACCGAACTTTAGAGGCAAAAAATTTCGTATCATTGCATACAGGATAATGACGTTATATCGGTGTAGATTCTGATATACGACAACCTTGCCCCATTCATTGCGATCTTCTAATTCACGCAGTACTTTCAAAGGATTTAAACTTGTCCTTCTCTCAAAGGATTTAAACCTGTCTTAGGTTATATTAGCAATGAGTTTATATAATATTAATTTTTTTTTTAATAAAAAGGAACAATTTAACCAAAATTCTAATAATTAAAATGATTTTGCTAAGCTATTTGTTAGCAAAAAATTCAGCAAATAAATTGCATTGAACACATTTCTTGTAAGTTCAATAAGTGAGAGATTCGTGGTTCTTTCGGTAGAAATTCAACTTAAATTTTGATAATTTGATGTTTGTGTTGTGTATTGTGTATTATGTTTCGTGTATTGTGTTTTGTGTATTGTGTAATGTGTAGATAAGTTTTTATTTAATATTTTTATTCTTCTTCAGATTCTTCGGTAGCGATTGCATCAGTGTCTGATATGACTTCATCGATGCCTGTGCTCAGTTCGATGATTGGTTCCTGTTTTATGTCTTCGACAGGAGTGGCAGGTTGTTCAACGATTGGCTCGTCAGAACTTGTGGCAGTGACATTTGTATCAGATGCTGCTTGTTGTAGTGATTGCAGCTCTTGGGCAGCAATTTCAGCTTCTTGACGGGCGATTTCAGCTAATTCGGCAGCTTGACGTGCTAATTCAGCTTCTTGCTCCTCTGCTGCTTGTTTTTCAATTTCAGCTAAGCGATTTAGTTCTTCTTCACGAACACGTTGTTCTTCGGCTATACGTTCTTCTTCCGCCTTGCGTGCTTCTTCAGCGACACGTGCCTCCTCGGCAAGACGAGCTTCTTCAGCAACGCGTGCTTCTTCAGCTAAACGAGCTTCTTCTGCCAAACGAGCCTCTTCAGCCAAAAGCGCCTCTTCAGCTAAACGAGCTTCATCAGCTTTTCGAGCTTCTTCGGCTAAACGAGCTTCTTCAGCTTTTACAGCTTCTTCTGCTAAACGAGCTTCTTCAGCTTTTCGAGCTTCTTCGGCTAAACGAGCTTCTTCAATAACACGTGCTTCTTCGGCTAAACGTGCTTCTTCAGCTAAACGCGCCTCATCTGCCAATCGTGCTTCTTCTGCGGCACGAGCCGCTTCTGCTTGTTGCGCTTGCTCTTCAGCTAAACGCACCTTTTCTTGTTCAGCTTTACGTGCAGCTTTTGATTCTGCAGCTTTTGCTTCAGCCGCTTTTGTTTTACGTTCACTTTCCAAACGCTTTTGTTCCTCTTCTTCAGCCTTGCGTTTCTTTTGTTCTTCCAGAGCCCTGTGCATTAATCAATTAAATATATATTAAAGAAAATTCTTTGATGAAATTTAATTTATACGTACTTCTCAGCCTTACGTCTGGCTTCATCAATACGTTGAGCTTGTTTTTTTTCCAATTCTACTTGATCCAAAGCTTCTTCATTTACAGTTAAAAGACGTTCCTGACGCATACGAACTTTCTCTCTGTGTTCTTCATCCACAGGATTTTCCAATGGTAGTGGAGCAGAAAATTTTCTCGTTGGTCGGAAAGGGTCCAGATCCGCTACTACAAATTCAAAAAAAAATTTAATCATGTTTTTTATGCTTATCTTAAGTGAAGAAACATTAGTTTATATATATTATATCTGTTTAACTCTATTTTATAGTACATTGTAAATACTTACATCTCTCCCGACTTGTCCGGTGGTCAACTGATGCAGTCGTGTTTCGGCCATAATCGTTTAGCGGTTGTGTGTGAGTTCTTAACTGATTATGACTGAATTTTATTTGCAATCCAAAAAACAAAAAAGGAGTGTGCACAAAACAAATACGTACAGAATGCAATGTAAAATGGGTGAACAGGAAACGGATACGTTAAATAAATGGGTGTGTTGCAAACAAAACTATTGTACTTTTTGTTTAAATTCGCAAATTTAGTATTATATTTTTCTGCAATCGTTTTTTGAAGCGTTTTTAATATATTCTACAAATCTATCTTGTATTTATTGTTAATATATTTTAATATTTTGAGGTTTTAGGAGTTTACTGTTAAAGTAATTTATAAATGTTTGAAGAAGTTCTAACATTAATATATTATTAAAATAAATAAAAACAAATAAAATAATAAAAATAATATAAAAAAAATATTTACAAAAGAAATTCATTACGAAATAGGTCAAGAAGTCTCAGTGTCTTCAGTGTCTCTTAGTATCAACTAACTGCCTTTTAGAAATATAATTGCTCCAATATAAAATAAAAACATGCATGTATTCAGATCGATTAATCTTTAACTTTTACATTATTAATTTTGACATTATCAATGTCTAAAATAAAAAATACAGAAACTCTCTGAACAGTCCTATAGCAGAGGGAAGAATAGAAAATGATACATAACTATTATGTTTTTTATATATAATAAAAATTAATTAAAGACTATAAATTATTGATCTCTATTAACTATGACAAAAAAATTTAGAACTAGAGCACTGAAAGTGTGAACAGCCTTGAATACTTGTGGATAAACACGATTAGTGATCGCTTCTAATTTGACAGGCACGAGTTCTAAGCCTGGCACTTGCAGTCCAAACAAATTATATACGGACTACAAACTAATTAAATTCGATTATTTCCTAAAGACCACTGATGATGAGTACTTGGCAATCCTCGAAACAGCATTGTATGGTCAGCCAAATTTCAATACATTAAATAAATTTTTGTGTTTTTCCTTTCTTTCTCTCTTTGCTATTCGAAAACCCTCTAAATTTTAAAGAAAGCTTCTTTGTCATTACAAAGTTAGCGTAGCTTTTTCGGGAACACAAATAAAAACTATAACTAAATATATAAATTTATTTATTAACTTAAATAAAAGTACCAAACAACTAAACAAGTTTTATCTTCTATTAAACTAAGATATGGATCTAGCAATGTATCTCATCCCTAACTTTTTAGAACCGTTTTATCTCTTCGTTTATCAAGAGTAAAGAGCTCAAGAGCTCAATTATTCCTTTATTAAAATGGTAAGATAAAAAAATCTTTAATTTCAAAAACTGTCATAAAAAAGTAGTAAAAGTTCTGAAAACATTGGAACAAAATAAATCCAAGACAGCTGTACATTAGAATAAAATCTGAAATTTAAATAGATGTCATATAAAAATGAATTAATTTCATTAATATCAGTAAATACCTAGCGAAACTAATCTATATATATATAAGAACTAATAGTTTAGTACTGAACAACATAATATTATGATGTGTCTTTAGCTCTGTTAGAAACCATAGTCTCACGCTCAAAGATTTATAAGTCTCCATTCACATAAAAATGACATACCCATTAATTTAACGACGAAAATAAAGATGTATAAAGTTATCAAATAGATAAAGCTGCAGCACTATCGACAATGTTATTTGGAATATTGAAAGTAAGCTTCAAGCCACACAAACGACTCTCAAACAATTGCTTTCATTTTATGTTCAATATACACAGAATATGTCATCTAAACGGGAAAGTATGGTCTAATGCTAAATTTTGTAAATTCTTAATCTAATTTTAGATTTAGATCTAAATCATAGTTTTCTAATTTTCTTAATCTTTAAAAGCATTAAATTGTAACTCGTTACATAGTTAACTTTAAGCTGGCATACCAACTTTGAACCCCTACAGCATGACTAATGCTCTATTGCAGTATGGCAAAGGAAAGGTCTATAAACTTAATAATTTATATGTTTGATATGTCATTTATAAATGATCTATCCCATATGATTCTAAAAATATTCTTGGATAGAATGGAGGTATTTCTCTGAATTAAAGATGTAAAAATATTACACAATTATAAATATTAAGTATCTATTATATTATATAACTAAAGTATCTATGGTTTCTGGAAAATTTACAGATTTTTAAGGTTCTTAATAAAAAAATTATTGTAGTTTAAACCAAAGATATAGATATGTCATATAATTTCAATTTTTTATGGTTCTTGAAAAAAGTTGTTATAATTTACATCAAAGATATAGAGATTTCATACAATTTCAGGATTTAATAGCTTATGGAAGAAGTAATAAAATTTGATTTTAGAGTCAGTGATTATTTTAATTAATAGCAACTAATGTATTTAATAGAAACGTGTCGAACAGTATTTTTGGTTGACTATATAGCTGTTTCGAATATTACCAAATGACTTTAAGCTTCACATTTGACAGTGTAAGGGTTTAATCCTTGGTACTTGCAGTCTTTAAAAAATTATTTACGAGAATTAGGTTAGGTTAGGTTATATCGATGATCACTGGTGGATTCACTTAGGCCTATAGACTCATTGTGTTACCGTATATGAAAGAAAAACTTAGGGTTTAAAACCACCTAGAACCTTTGACAAAGCCTAAAATGCTATTTAGTGTCAGGTCTTGCAAGGTTAATATAATTCAAAGTGCAAAAGAAGGAAATCCTATTGAGATAAAAAATGTTGATAGTTCTAAATATATAGGACTCATTAAAAAATATATATTTAATAACAAATAATATTAAATATTTATTTTAAATATTATTATTAATTGAATCTATTGATAATTTAACCGTTTGACCACTTTAATCTTAGACTTACCGAGAAACATTTCTGTTCTCGTTAAATTGTAGTTTAACAATATTAACTAGTTTTCCACTTATGCTCTTCTGATCTTGGAAACTGATTTTGAATATATTAAGGATGTCCCTAACTATATTACAGTTAAACTTCAAATAACTCGAAATTCTTTGACTCGAATTTTCTGTAACTGGAACTAAATAGAGTGCAACAGAGTTTATAGAGCAAATTACATACAAATACAAAAAAGCTCTTTAACTCGAAAGTCTCTATAAGTCGAACCTTCTCTTCTGCAAAATGTTACTTCGAGTTGAAGTTTGACTGTAGCATTATCTTATTAAAAAGGATATAGGATTCTTAAGTATTTAATAGCAATAGGTGGCAGATAAAATATGGTAAGATCACATTTGCTATATCTTTCTTATTCTGAGAAAGTACAAGAATATTCAAGTATTATCTGTAGTAATTACCAGCTTGGAGCGTTTTTTTGCTAACGTTTTATATATATATAGTTGAATATTTTAATTAAGCTTTATATGTATTGAGAAATTCTATAAAGGCTTATAAAGGTTATAATAACACATTCAATAAAGTTAAATTATTATCAAGGGGTCTAAAATTTATTTAAAATTAAATTTTCTTTAAAAGTTAATAATTTTCGCAACTGAGACAAAATCATAGTTAAATAAATAAATAAAAAATAATATTAAATTAAAATTTTTAAAAAGATATATTTTATTTGATCATTTCGAAATGGTGGTCTTAAAATTTTTGATATTTTGAACAATCTAATGTATTTGCTTGTCTTTATATATTTTGCAGTTCGCTTTTTCTTATTTGCAATTTATTTTATGTAAAATACTGTAAAAATTCTGTTTGTAAATTTAATTTAATTCAATTTATTTTAATTTTTATTGTCGATATAAACAATAGCATTTGCGCAAAGCGAAAAGCTATTCAAATGTTTCATTTGCCGGATGGCGAAATATCAGGCCTTCTTCGATGTGCTTACAAATGTTAATGATTGAAATAAATTTCGTTTATTGAAATCTCTCTTGAAATGTTTATGGCTACATTTAATTAATATCCTTCCCGACAAAATATGCCAATGGCACAAAAATGACGTCGCAATATTGCGCGTGCGAAATAAATAGGTCAAGGCCACGCAGCAATTGCGATGACAGCAGTGATTAACTAATTAAATGATCAACTGATTAACTGATTAACTAATTATATATTTTTTGATTAAGGGAAAGTCCTCTTTAAGAACAGAAGTGATGCAGTTTGAATCAAAATTATTTGGTATAATGAAATCTAATATTTCCCATAATCAGAAATATCAATATTTTTAATTATTCGCCCTGACAGAAATTAAAAATCCATTTTTCAATATTTTTTTTTTTTTGATTAATTTTTTTAATTAATTTAATTGATTGTAAATATATATTAAAATAAATACATAAATGTATAATTTGCCAAAAAATTTATATATAAATAAAAGTATTTTTTATTTATTTATTTATTTATTATATTTTGTATATTTCAACTGTTTTGGATGAGTTCGGCTTTGTTTGTTTAAACAAATCCACAAATATGAGAGGCAAAATTCAAAAAATTTTGTATATTCCAAAAATAATTTATATACGAAATAAGTAAGCTCATGAATTGTCGTTTCGTTTGTATATTTTAATTTATTATTAATTTGTTCTATGAGATGTTCAAAAATTATTATTTAAATATATTCATTTTAATTAAAATGAATGTTTGAGGTTTTGTGTGGGTGTGTCTGCGTTGTTTTGACCGTTAATTGTAAAAAAATTTGTTAAGTTCTTAATTCAATTTGAGTTGTTTTGCAATCTGAATAAAGTCTTTTCATTGCATTATATGCATAATACAAATGATAGATCCATCTAAATTTAAGCAGGCACATAATCATTTAGGCCTCAACTTGAACAGCTTCAACTGCAAAGAATCAATTAAGAATCAAAGAGAGAAAAAACACATAAGTTAGTAACTAAATAAAAGGCATTTGAGCAAATCTTGCGATTTTCATTGTTAGTCACAGATGTTTTTCAATTTCTTTATGTTCGTTAATTAACATAAATTAAATGCAATAAATCAATCGAGAATCATGGTAAATATGCATATAAGGTTATTAATGTAGAAAACTATATAAATATATCATTTGGCAATTCCTCTTAAAAAATAGACATCGCAATCTACAAAGAAGATCTACAAAAAAAATTATAAGTAAATTATTGCCTTTCCTTTAAAGTAATTTATTTTAAGAGAGCAAGAACACACAATGTCACCGCCCTCGGAAAGAGCATACCTACCTAAATGATTCTTTACCTCGATTATAAATTATAATGATAAATAATTCTTACACACGTATAAATATTTTCTTTCTTACTTTTGATACGTAATATTTATATACTAGAATATTGCCAAACTATTCTTCTTTTATCATTTTTAGAACCATTTTAGTGTATACATGATTATTTCCTTTCATTTAAAATACTTTTTTTAGAGACAAATAGCACCGACCTTGGAAAGAGCATACCTTAATGATTGTTTACCTCGATTATAACGATAGATTATTCTTAAATACAATATTTTCTTATTATATACTAAAATATTGTCAAACTATTCTGCATTTTTCTTTTTTAGAACCATTTTAATATATATATAATATGATTACTTTCAAAAATTATCGTAAGACATATACTTGAATAGATTACCTATGCGTTCAATCAAAACATTATTTTCATCTATAATTCTAACGAATAATACTCCGAGACAGTTTCCGTAAGAATCTGGTAACTTAGTAATAAATATAATTATCCCAATTTATTATAATGATTAACCGAAAGTTATAACGATTAATTGCTAAATAACGTCTTATTACAGAATTCCTAGTTTCATCACTTGCAGAATTGAATTTATAATTCTATAATATCCAAATCCTTTAACTAGTAATTCATTCTTTTTTAATTTTAATGTATATTGCAATCTATTTACATATTCGTACAAATGACAATAGTTAGGCTTAGTTAGTCGGTACGTACCGTAAGAATTTAAATCAAAGCAAAATACACAGGTACGGTTAGTAGTATATTTCGGTTTGGCTAAAGTTCGCTTAAGTTTTTACGGTATGTACCGATTAATTGACCCTTAAACCATGTATATGTACAATTTAACAAAACTTAAAAATGAGAAAATTTAGCAGTTGGAACGGAATTGGTATGCAATTCCTTTGGATTCAGTCTTAAAGATCTAGTGGAGTACGTCTACGTAAACTGCTGAAGCCTGTTATCTATCGTTTGACGAACTAAGTTCTTAATGATGATTTTTCAAAGGTTTATAGGTTTTTTTTATAGGTTTTTTTATGGAATTACTTTTTAATCATAAGATTTAAAATTTAACATTGACAAAAAGTATCCTATTGTACTAATTTTTAATTTGTTTTGAATTTTGAAGTTCAATGTAGAATAGAATAGAAAATAACAGGATTATTAGATTTTAGAAGCGTAGTAAAGAATATCTTACGTTTGAGGAGATTTCAATTTAATACAAGTACAATATACCTAATAGAGACAGATTCTTCAGCAATAATGTATTCCTGAAGTCGAATTTCTGGAGTCGTCTTCTACAATTTCTAAGCTATGCAGGATGATCCTTTTTAAATGTTAGAAGATATAGTTTCGTAGTTTTAGAAACAAAACAAAATAGAAACTGAAGAAAAAATCATTTTAAACCATCTCAACAAAAAATGGTGTGGGGCAGAATAGGGACTCTTCTTGGAAGCAGCTAAACTTTCTATTTCATTCTTTATAATTATGCTACTTTGATCCTAGGAGAACTCAAGGTGTCAGTACCTTGTTCCGTTAAGAACATAGGCAACAATTTTCTCTTTTGTTTTATTGTAAATTTTTTCAATGGTTACTAAAGTAGCCTATCAGCACAAAAGATCAACTATGGTTGCAGTGCTCCGATCATTAGGAGACACTACCCTGTTTATTTCTAAAGTAGCCTATAGTAAAGAAACTCAACGCATTACAAAAACTCTACTCCTGAAAACTTACAATATATCTTCCACATAAATTATTCAAATAATAGCTTGTCATATTTTTTTTTCTTTATATAAACATTAACTTGAATAAATCAAAGATTATAAATCGAATGATCTGGCAATTTTTTTTGCCGGTACTAAGCCCGAATGTAAATGTCATGTAAAGAAAAGTAAAAAATGATATCTTTTTTAAAAATCTACTTAACACCTCATTTTTATTATTATCAGTTTGATTGCATATTTAATTATTAAATACTAAATAAGACAAATTTTGTCTAATAATTTAATAGAAAGCATATATAATATTATGCTTCTTACAAGATTATTTCTAAGAACATCATTTTTCTTATTAAAAAATATATCATATAAGTTTTTAAGTTTTTAATAATTAATCTACTATAATCACATCAAATCCCTTTCTCAAATACATGTATTTAATTTTAAAATAAAACATATCTGTCCTAGATCATTCTCTTTGAATAAAATTAATTAACATCTAATTCTTCTTAATTATATTTAGGTCCATAAAACTTAATGTTTAAAAGACCTTTTTTAGTCATATCTTTATTAATGAGAAATGTCCTAGATAATGGTTAAGTACTACATCTAAACACTATCTTTCCTTACAGTCCTTCATTTCATTTGATCTTCTGAAATAACACTTGAAACTATTTTATTGTCAAAAAAATTTAGTACTGATTCACAAATTTTATTTTTTTTTTTCAACTTTGTAGGACTTAATTGCCAAATATTTGATCTATTTTCGTTTTCAATGAATTAAATAAACATATTTACAAATGTTAGAAGCAATCAAATGGATAAACAAAAAAAATCTGCTTGACTTACCTTTGTTCAATGAAATGTTTTCATCGACATGTTTTTCTTTGATTCCTCTTGGATGTCTTAAATACCAGGACATAAGACCAATATCAGTTCTGATCTTTTCCGAATCAGTTTGATACATTGGTTTCCTAATATTATAGGCCTTATCGCCGCAAATCCTTACAGATGCTAGATGGCTTTTGCCTTTATATATTTATTTTAAACAATTCAATTTATTTTTAACATTGAGCAAAAAAAATGTCTTGTACAATTTTTTGCCCAATGTCTCTTTAATCTATATTAGGTTTCGTGATAATCACTTCTAAAAAAGACCTTCACATTGACTTACCTACATATTTACGTGGTGATTCAGGATATTGTATAATGTTATGTACTTCCTTAGCGACATGACGCACGGGGTTTGTTACTCTGGCAACATATGCATCAAGAGCCAACTGTGAGGTTGGTTCATAGTTGTATCTTTAATAATATTAGAACGAAATAATAACAAAAAACAATATGTTATAGAATCAGCACTGTTCAAGGTCTTTAATATATATTTACCCTATCACTGGGAAGGGTGTGGCGCTGCGTGCTCTACGAATAACTGGAGTGTGCACATCGCGAATCAAAGATTGTGCTCTATGACGAATTCTTCTAGTCTCATCTTGGAAGGTCTAATAAAATTGATTACAACCAAATAATTATATTTAATCAACTCTATCTGAATAACTTCTCTATTGTATAAATCACAATAATAGCTTGTAATATTTTGATTTTAAGTGTAAACAATTAACAAAAACTCACAGTGTAGGGTTCGGTGTTGAGGTAATTAGTTAGAGCACGAGCACCGTATCCTGTTGGGATTCTCTTTAGGTAGGAAGGAGTGACACGTACAGGTGAAGTTGTTATCCTTACTGGACTAAGTGAGCGTGTATACACACGTGAAATGGGTTGGTATACATAGGATGGTGTAGTGTACGTATAGGAAGATGGTGTATAATAACTGTAATAAGTTGATGGTACATATGTTGGGCTATAAATAGTTGTTGGTGATGTATAACTATAGGTGGTGGTACGCTCCGGAGAAGAGATCACTCGAGTTGTAGTCCGAACAATACGCACTGGTGATGGAGAACGAACAATGCGTGTCGTTGTAACGCGAGCTGGTGAGCTTACAACACGAATTGGCGATGTAACAATGCGGGTTCCAGAAAATATACGTTTTGGAATCGTTGAGTAGATTGGGTAACTCGTTTTATATACCTAATAGATTTATTGTTTCTTTGAAGTAAATTCATATCTTTGCCGTTTTTTTTAAATGAACTTATTTTTGTATGAAATATATGATCAATGTACATATACCTAATACACAGATATATCATAAATTATATATATATTTATATATGCTGCCATTTTATTCTGCTTATATATATATAAACATATATATATGTATATATATATATATATTTTATACATATATAAATATAATACATACATATAATATATGTATATTATATATATATATATATAATATATATTATATATACATACATATTTATAATTTATGATATATCTTTGTATTACATACATGTAGTTTGAATGTAAATATACTTTTTAATGAATATTATGTATGATGTATAGATATGTATATATTACTGACCATGATATTATTGGATGAATGTATCCTCTTTGATGAACTTAGAATTTTTAAAAAATATGATGAAGTTGATAATAAATATGTGTAGTTTATTAATTATTGATATGTTGCTGATGTATTGGATGCAAAATGATAAATGTTTATGAAAAATGCGTTAGATTCACACTACAGAAATAACATAAACTACTTACTCTATGTACAGATGGGTACTGAAAGAAACACAAAGAATTCCATTAAAAATAATATTTAACCAACGTTAGAAATATTTATAACCAATTTGTGAAATATTCTCCTACTAATATATGTACTTCTATAAATTCAATTAACTTACAATAAATTAACAAAAAAAAGTTTATAAAGTAAAGGTAATGTATTTGTTTATAAGTTCCTGATCTTAAACTGAATGAGTCCAATATTATAACTATTTTCAACTATTTAAATAACTAAATAAAAATTACATATATGTGTCAGTATAAATAAACGTATAGTAGATATATTTAAAAAACACACTACACTGTTAAATATTCAAAATATAATACTTTACCATACTTAAGCTTCTGAAAATCACTGCCACTAAAGAACCTATCAAGCAAAACTTATCCTGAATTCTGGAAGTGGTACGTTTTTTATATCAAAAACCGTGCATTCTAAAGTTAGTAGGACTTTTTTTAAATAAATATATGGAACTTGAACCTTAGTGATTTAGCACAAATATTCCAAATACCAAATTTGTTGGTTTTATTTGTTATAATTTTTGAGCTATTCAAAAAATCAAAAAGTTGACTATGTTTGGGACCAGATATATTCCGGTGAAGCAAAATACGCGTAAAAAAAAGCCAACCTCAATAACAGAGATACAAAGCCAATTTAATATTTCTACAGAAAAAGATAAAAAAAATCTTATATTATTATATTAATATTATTATTATTATTATATTATTATAAAACATTAATGCTTAAAAACAATTTGGTATATCCTATATAAAAAAATATGAGGCGAAACTGGACTTAAACAAAGGATCTAAAAAGTAAGGACTATACATTAAGAATTCTGGCATTTTATTTCTCCGAAAGTAAAATAAAATAAATAAATAAAATATTATTTATTGCAATATACAATAATAAAAATTTTGAAATTCATTATAATTGACACACTCATAGTTATTTATTTTTTTTTCGTGAAAATTTTATAAATTTGTATTTATTACTAATATACACGCATATGCATTTTATTGCTTATACTTCCGTGTCAAATTCACTTTGATTATGTGATTATAAATTGCATTAATCTCAATAATTACTTATTATGAAATTATGAAGGTATGAAAGTATGAAAAAATAGTGCTTCAATAAGGCACAATATTCAGGTACTCATTGTACTAAACCACAAAGCATTGCAATAAGTCGTCTAAAATTAATTTCATCTGACGTTTTCAGCATTATATATAATAATAATAATTATAGTAAATAAATAATAATTATAATTAAATATAATTTAAATGATAAGTAACAAATATGTCATTTCTCCTCAATAACAAATATATTTTTTCAATGGAAACTCATTTTAGGTTAAAGATAACTACTAACTTTGAATAGAAAACTTAGTACTTCAAAAAGTTGTAGAAAATCTGAACAATTGTTTTCTTCCTTATATAAGATTTCTTTACACTTTAACTTTAACAATACTTAAAATATTTATATATATAAATATATTATATATTATATTACATGTTAATTTTTTTTATGCTACTCGCAGCCATTATTTCCTATTTTCTTTATTTAAATTCAAGTGCAGTTAACTAGCGCACTACCTGTTGTTTATTTAAATTTTATTTTAAGTAAATGGATTTCATTACTTTTAATATGTTGCAATGGTACATTTGAATGCTGTTAGCTGGAACTTAAAGTGATATTTATTTTATAAATAAATAGTAGAACACTCATCATTTATGTACTTGAAATTAAGGGGTTTCTTCTTAATTGATTTTTTTAATTAAATATCTTTAAAACAAAACTATTTATATAGAATTTTTTCAATGACTGATATAATTTCCGTAATAAACGATGTTGAAGGTTTTAATTGATTCATTGGGATTTTCTTTTATTTTGACCTTTGGCGTCGTTTATTTATATATATACATTATCTGACTGCTTGTTAGAACAACGAAAAGAAAAAAAGAAAATGAAGATCGAAAAAGAGATAGTGTGCCAGTGTTAGACAAGATCTGAGAGATATGAATGTCATCAACTGGAAGCTAAAAGCCAAAAATAGAGTAGAATGAAAGGATGTCGTAAAACAACCTTTGGTCCTACATGGGCTGTATAGCTATGGATAATGGATGCTTGCTTAGAGAAATATATTATATATAAATATGTTATAAAATATCTATAAGTAATTAAGTTCACCTTACAACGTCTTCTATATCTGACTTAAATGATGTTGGGAATTTTTTTCATTAATTATTAAGTCCGAAGTAGTTAAGCTCATAATTCTGTTGAGTACTTTTTTATGTATAATTAAATATTTTCGTTTTGTATTTTATTTATTTATAATTTTTTTTTTTTTTTTGCATTTTAATTTTTTCCATTTTTGATTTTGTCGTATATTAAGCAGGTCGTTTCCAGACTTGTTCTAGACTGAAGAGGTAATAAAATGAGCTATGCACTTTTATGAGAATGACATAATATTTTTAATATTTTTCATTGATTCCTAGCGTCCTAGTGTGCTTGGAGATCTGCTCTCTAAACCTTATTTCTACTTAAACTATTCATGAATATCGCATTACCACCGTTATCAGTTCAAATGAAAGATTTTTTTTAACGTTAATACAGAAAAAAACTTTATTGACTTTAAGTAATGATTACAATATTGTATCACAAATATTTTTCAACTACTTTTTAATTAAATAATAAATAAAATTTGTAATATTCTTATGCAAATTTATGCGAAAATCGTGTTATTTATTAAATTTTAAGTAATTAAGTAAAGATAATCCTTTAATAAATTAAATACATGTGTGTATGTGTTAGTGAATGTATATGTTTACTGGGCAAATACATCAAATACATCATTTAGACATTTATTAATATGAGACTCAGCTTTGTTTCATCATTTCATCATTTTAAAAGGATTAATTTCACCTACGAGTCCGCGTTGTGACATTACAAATATTAAAGTGAAATTATGGTAAATAAAATTGAATACTTTTCATTTTATACATTTTATACATTTGTATACATTTGTATATAATATATGTTGTTTTGTATGTGTAAGTAGTTTTTAGTTTGGTTTAGTAAATTTATAAGCAATTTAATACGATTATTATTAATATTTTGAAATCATTTAAGCTTCGCCATTCTGTTGGGACGTTCATTGAGAAGTTTAAACGTGATAAGAGAAATGGCGGTATTTGGTGCCACCGGGAAGTGAACCGGAAGTGGTGGAAGAGTAACTGTAACCACCAGGACCTGCGCCAGTTGTGCTGGTTCTCTCAGTGCTGTAGTTGTAAGAGCCACCTGGTCCGCTACGGTTGGACCTTTCAACAGTTGAAGTGTAACTGGAACGTTCTGGTCTGGCGTAGGGATTGCTAGAATCGTAGGAGTTTTTCTCTACGTTCGATGTATACGAGTAGGAATAATCGCTTGAGCCACGGCTGCGGTGTTGACCGGGTCTCTCAGTGCAAAGATCCAAGCGTGGAGTCTGCAATTTGTTGCAATTTGTTGCAGATGATAATTAAAAATGTGCTTAAACTAATGGTTAACTTAGTTGAAAATGCAAAAACTATCCAAAGCCAACTTGCTGTTTATCAAAAAAATTATTCCATACTCAATACTGAATAGGTCCTACATAATAATCAATTGTGCTTAGTAATACATAAAGAAATTGAAACATATTTGAAATAAATTAATTTATGAAGTTTTGCAAATATCAGCGCTTCTGCATATGTTTTGCACTGCAATGCGTGGAGAATTACGTTATTTACAATAAGACATCGAATTAATTTCATATTAAATACATAAATTTGAAGTTTAAATGAAACAAAGCGTGAGCCTTACAATTAAAACAGATTTCGATTGAAGTATACATAAAATTTAAATAAAATATCGTTAACAATTTCGGGTTAAGTCGGATTAATACACTTACAGATCTTGCGATAAATGTTAGAACGTAAAAAATGTAAAAAATAAATAAATAATTTCGTTTTAATCGTTTGTATATGACGGTGCTAAGCTACTTTAGACGGTGGGTAGTTCCTTAATAGGTGTATTTAGTAACCATGGCGCCCGATCGTTCGTTGCGATATGTTTCACGTCTAACGGGCAAGCTTTCAGAAGCAGCACGGTGTAGGCGCGGCAAAACAGTATCAATGCTGTCGCGAGCGGTACGTGCAGCAGTATTACCGCCAGCTTCTACGGTTTCGATATGCTGTCGTACCATGTCTAGAACACGCTCACGATTCTTATCGCGAGCTGGTACATATGGTTTTATTGGCTCGTTAAGTACCCTGTAACTGGGCTTAATAGCTGCACGATTAATAGGATCGAGAATGGATTTCTTACGATATTCACGCTCTGGTCGTCGCGCCCCAAAGGCTGTCACCGGATCAGCAATAAGTGTGGGTCGTGGCACATAGGGGCATTTTTCCCAATCAACTGGTGTTCTGGTCTGTAATGCCCACACAATGAGTTTTTATTACAATTTATTTGTTGGTTTATTTATGAATGAAACTAGTTACCTTTAATTATTATTATAGGAACATTAAGCTGAGGAGCTAAAGGAGCTGAGGTGCTCACAGATAGGAAGCAGTAGTGCATATGTATTTACAGCGTGCCGGAGGCGTTCTGATTACTAAATGTTAACTGGCAATTGAAGTTAAAAATTATGTTCTATATTCTTACTTGCTAAATTTTTATTGCTGAGCTAGGTTATATTATTTTAGAAGTGGGGTTTTATTATTTTTAAATAATATTCACATTAATATTTTCATACAGTTATGAACAAAGTATTACAACCTAAGTGCAGTGTGGTGAAGGACCGATGATATGAAATATATACTACTTATATACAAAATATGTACAATTTTAGAAATATTATTGTGCAAGTTAGAAATTAGTTAAGTCACAGCAAACATATCTTAACATTAACCCTCACATATATATTAAATTTTTATTTTTAGATTTTGGTTTCTTTATACGAGTAATTAATTTATTTAATCATATTTTTAAAATTATTAATAATTTTGACTGCTGCTCTGTATATATTATATTATTTATCATCTGATTAAAATTCAACAACAACGACTACAACAACAACAACAAAATTAATGGAACATAATTTTTTGCTATCACCTTGAATTATTTCATTTCATTTGTAAGGTGAAAATTCAGCATATATTTTTGTAAATTAGAAAATATTTATTTTTAAATTTTATTACATTTTTTTGAAACTGTGTGAATCACAATAAAAAAAAAACAACAAAAATTATCTTAAGAGTGAAAATGAAATTCTCATCATTTCAGATACAAACACGAATGTATCTCGTCTCGAAGTTATGTGTTAAGCACGCAGCCCTAGGCAAATAGCTTTCAAAATCCTCTCAACACCTCTTATTTATTTTATTTATTTTTGAAATTTTGAATATTTGGTTTTAAATTTTTTATTGCATTTCTCATGGAATTTGGCAGATATTTTTAAATTGTAAACTGCTGCGTGCGCAGCTTAAATTACAAAAATTTTAAATGAAAATTATAAAATTTTGCTCTATACAAAATTTCTAACAAAACTATAAAATCTAAAAAAAAAATTTTATAATATAAACTTTTTTTGTATTTATCAAATGCAGGAATTATTATTTAAGATACAAATTTTTTAATGTTTATTTTTTTAATTTTGTTTACTTTTTGCAAAACTGCATTGGCAATTGTGTCAATACTGAAATTGATTTGTGACAATTTTTTGATCTTGAAATGAAAGCTAAGGCCATAAATTAATGGCTTTGTGAATTCCTCTTCCCCTTCTCTATACTTCTCTAAACTTCTACATATGAATATATGCTATATATCTTTGTCACGTTCAGAGCATATAAGTATAATGTAGGTATGTGCGACAGCCAAGATGCGTTCAGCCGTGCCAAAATTGTGCGAGATTTATTAGAGAAAAAGTATCTTGTCAAAAGTTTGTATTTTTCCCGGTAGCAAAAAAAATTTTATTTAATTTTTATTTAATTTTTGTACATTTTAAAATATAAAAAAAATATATATAATAGCAGAAAAATAATTATTGGAATAAATTACGTAAAATATTTTTATAAATAAAAATTACGCAATGGAATAATCAAACTATTGTAATCGCAAAATCTATAATTTTGTTTTAAATTTTTTGAGATCCTGATATTGCTAAGATAATATAAGGAATTTACCGAAATACGTATAGAAATATACAAAATATCCGATCGAAATAAAAGTTAAAACAAAACCGACACAAAATGTATCTTTATTATAGCAACAGAGAAAAAAACGTCCTCTTCTGTCAAAGTGACACCAATACCGATATTATTCTTCATAATAACACCGTCTTGATACTATTATAGCAACAAACGTCAATTTTATTGTTACCTAAATTCTACTTTTACATACTGTTCATAAGTATATATTATTATTATCATTATTATTAGTATTGTTGGAAGACACAATAATATACTATTGTGCTATCCCTAATGTATTATACTAATCTTATACGAAAATCAAATTAGGTAATATATAATTCTTATACTATTATTTGTTTCTAGTTTTGAAACATCTTTTAGTTTAATGACATCCAGAAAGTATTGGACTCAATGAACCCCAAATCTTTGTGAATCTTAATACTCTATACATTCATAATCTTTTAGTTTAATGACATCCAGAAAGTATTGGACTCAGTGAACCCCAAATCTTTGTGAAGCTTAATACTCTATACATTCGTAACGTGAAAATAATATTAATCATTACTTGGCATATTTATTGACTAATTGAAATATAAATAAACATATAAAATGTATCTTACTAATAATTTATGTAAATAATTCAATAAATTGTTTTAATATTATCATGTATAGTATATGCTATTATATACAAAAGAGCATTTACATGTTAAACACAGTGTCAATCAATTCGGATAGGTATGGGAAGTACATACAGTGAAAAATCACTTTAGTAAACAATCCACTTCAGCCAATTTTTGTTCTTTCAATAAGCGTATAGAGTTAAAATATGGTTTATATGGTTTCAAATTAGAATACAAATAAATTCTACTTTTGGAAAAATTGTCTATTCTAGACAATAAGGAACACGTCTTTATTACAGACGCTTTTTTTTATATATTTTTGACTTTATTTTTTTTTGTAAAGAAGTAAAATATTGGAATACATTATAGAGGGTATATAGAAGTATTCCATAGCAATGCGCAAGGCTATAAAATTCCTCCAATGCTTCTACTGTAATAAATTTAAATTATTGAATTTATCTATATCAATTAACAAAGATACATGGCGACTGCTATGCTTCCTATAGCATATCGATAAAAACTATTTATATATATATTTTATATTATAATAATATTATAGTAATGTTATAATATTTTATTATTATATGTCATTATATATATACATATCTATAATATATATACATATATTTAGTTAATATATACATATATCATATATATATTAATATATATATATTTAGTTAAAATATTATATAGTTCATATCGATATATTCTAGAAAACATAGCAATAGCCATATATCTTATTTCTTAAACTATGCATATAAAAAACAAATTTAAATACAAATATTTAAATATATATACATATATGTATATATCATACATATATAAAGTATTTATATAAATATATTATAATTTAAATTATTATTAAAATAATATTCGATATGAGAATTTTTTCTAATATCATTTTTATAAGTTTTAAAATAAAATTCTGCACTATTATATTTTATATTAACTTTTATATATATATCTCTTAAACTTTCATATTAATACAGATATATATAAATCTTTTAATTATATATATTTATATATATATATAAACCTAAAATTTTTTATAGCAATTATACTTTTGTTTATTAGTTGATTGTGAAGCTATTTTTAGATATGAGAAATTTATGATTTATAAAAAATAATTATTAATTCAAATTGTCAATTAATTTATTTTACTTATTATCTATAATTTATTTTTTTTTTTGAAATTTTATATTAATTTTTTAAATATAATTATAGCAAAAATTTTAATTTTTTTTTTTAATTTATATGCAGTAAACTATATTAATTAATATCTTTTAAATATTAAATGTTATTTATTTACATATATCTAATTTCAGTATGAAATACATAAAATTTATATAAATATTTTAACCAATTTATTATGAACCAATATTTCATTATAAACAATTTATTTACTCTAACAGTTCGATAATGCGATATTCATAAGTAGAAAATTTCACTGATAAATGCTAAACGGAGATACTTTTGGACATTTATAGTTTTTACTTCAAACGTGTTTCAATTTCGATCATAGCAGCAAAAAATGATACTCGTACTTAATATTTCTTAAGATTTTATTTTATAAAAATGTATATATACATAATTTCATTTATTTAAAAATAAAAAAAGTCAGTACAATACAGATTATATAAGATAGAGATGGATACGTTGATATACAAAAAAAAAATTGTTAAAAACTTAAAACAACAAAAACAACACAGCAAGTGAGGCAAGCACTTCAACTAAGTTTTTATATAAGAAATTTAATTGTTTTTTTACTATATAATAATTACGGGAAAGTTTTGTTCGAAAATTGCATTCAAAATATTTGCAAACCAATTTTTCTAAATTCAAATCACACATCCAATAAAAAAAGATACAAAAATTTGCGCACTGCACACAATTTTCACAAGGAATCAAAATTCCAGCTAATTTAAAAATTAATTTAATTTTGAAATTTAACACACTTTTCTTTAAATTCGTTATATATTATATCATGAAATTTATGAATTTTATGAATTTTATAAAGAATTCATCGCAAATATTTTCAACACAATTTTGAGTCATTAAAGGATTTCAACCACACTACTCACAAATAATTATAAAATACATATTTATTGGGTTTATATATATTTTTCGTTTCATTTCTTGAATATCCTTTTTCAAATAATATTTTTTTTAATTTTATTTAAAGGTTTTCTATGGAACTATAATAGATTTAACGCTCACCGATACGGTATACGACGTAGTAACTGGCCTGCTGGAGTAGGTTCTGCGAGTAGTAAATCCGCTTTCGTAAACCATTTTCGTTCGTTTAGTTTAGTTGAATTTAATTATTAATTAAATAAAAATGTTAATAATTTATAATTTATAAATTATTTATAAGACCACTCGAGTAAATATTGAATATTTATTTTATTCGCCTCGTGTGTTCACTTTGCGCCCGTTCGAGATCTTCTGAAATCTTCGTCTTCTGTACAGCCAATTTAATTTTCATTTCTTAAATTTGGACTCTCTCAAAACCGAAAAATATATTTTTGGAATTACAAATACAAACGAAAGATACATATTTATCCTTGTGTTCTTTATTCTAACAAACAATTCAATAAAAATTTCAATTTTTGTTGGTGAAAAGACAATATCGCAAAAATAAGATAATCTCAAACTTTTAGAAAAGATGCAATATGTCTATGTAGACATCTGCAAAACGCGAAAATATGGATGTGTGAGTATAATTGTTTACTCTTCTTTATTAATTTGATTTTTTATATACACTTTGATATATAATGATACTAATTTATATATATTTAATCTTTTTTTTTGTACTATTTTTTTTTTCTTAATATTGGCGTAGGCTTTACGAAACTCCTACAAGTATTTTTCTCTCTGTTGTTAAAATTTTATCATCATTAATTAATAATTTCTGAAATATTCAAAATAAACATTTATTTTCAATTTAATTTTAGCAACATTTTAATATTTTACAACAATTTATTTAGTCAATTCGTTTATTTTTTTAAAGTATTTCAAGAAACGTATTTTTCAATGATCTTGAAAAATTCCTCCTCCATTTAAACACCGATAATGTCAGACAAGTGCAAAAGTAAAATAAAAAACTAATATATATATATATATATATATGTATAATAAATCAGAAGGTTAAAAAAATATTCAAATTGTTCAGAAATTACTTTAGCTTCATCATATTATTGTTTATTATGTTGTTTATTATTTTTATAATAAAAATAAAATAGTATATTTTTTTTATTATATATTATTTTATATTATTTATATTTTATCATATTTTATTATAAAATAAAAAGCTATGAATAATATATATGATATGATATACATATATATATTCTATTATAAAATAATAAAGCAATATATATCATATATATTATTCATATATTTTTATTTTATTTATAAATTAATTTTTTATTTTTTTTATTTTTATATATTTATTTATTTAAATAAAAATAAAAAATTTATTATTGTAATTAATAATTTCATTGTTTAATATTATATTAATTTATCTTAATTTCATTAGTACAGATAGTGGTTAATATTTCACTTAAAATATTTAGATAAAATAATGAAGCAAACGAAGTCACTATCATCCTAATCTCTTTAAGAAGTGGTTTATAAAGCAGTGTTTTAAATGTTCAAGAGTACCAAGTAGCACTCCCATTGCCTCGAATAAGTGATTGTTTCAATTTCTAAAGTAGTCCACATTATCCTTGTCTCTCGCACTACCGATTTGTGAGTGTTCAAAATTAACAAACCTTATCACAATCACTTGAACTTCCATCTTTATTTTATTGGTGCTCAAACTTTCCTACTAACTTCTATTGGTTCTATTTGTCTGAAATCTTAATTAAATTGTTTTTAAATTATTTAAGATATGAAATAAACAAGTATTTTATAAATTATCTTGCGTTTTTTTTGTAAGGATATTTTATTATAGTGACCCGTACGGAAGTTAAATATCACTGTAAGAAAATAATATGGTGTCCTCATCGGACAATATTAACAGTATTAAGAAATTTTACTTGTAGTAAGCGACGATTTCTAATATTTCTCTGGAAAAACTCGATATAAATTGAAATTTCCAATGATATATATTAAACTAGATGATCGCGCTCCGACTACAGCTTGATAGAGTAGTCTTATAAGATTTATTGATTTATACTTATAAGATTTAACTGTATGAGATATGTTTACTTTTGGTACACATATCTCATATCACATTTAAAATAATAGTTTATCCATTTTTAAGTCCAGATTCGATAGCAGAGTGAATTGCATATAAGAATTTTTTTAAATAAATATAAGAATAAATAAATATAAGGAGTCCCATGTAAATATAAATTTTGCACCATCATCATAAAATTAATACTTAACTATTGTTTATTTATGATTAATTTTATATGTCGTTATGTTATTTTTTTTATTGATGTAAATATAATTTTTTGTCAAAACATGTTAAAGGAGTTTAAATATGAACTACGGATTGGTGTCATTACAGGTGGGGAGGGTTCATATGGATCTTTCATTTAATTGAAAAAAAATCCATATATTTTTATTGTTAAATGATTAAAATTATTTTAAAGTTCTAAACTACACTACCTCCTCTATCCCCTCCTAATAGATCCTGTAGTTCATAACTCTCTATTACAAAATATGCGCTTGTACTTCTTATAGAAAATTTAATATAAACGATGATAATAAATTCAGTTTGATAATAAATTTGTTTTTGAAATTCGTTGAAATTGGAATTTATAAATTTATGATGCGATCTTTCCAATAAATTGTATTCTTCATGTCTAGTACAAGAACCAGATATCTACCCTACACAGTGACATAATGCTTAAATCAATACCTGAATTATTATCTACAGCAAATAGCAAATCTACGTTATTGAGCCAGTTCACAGTTCACGTCCTCAAAGTTTCATCATTGACAAAGAAGACGAATCGAGCCAAAGAAGCTACACCAGAACGGAGGAATTATCCGGATAATAACAATAACAGTGACGTCTTCGTTGTCTTATAATCTGCATATCTTCAATATCGAAGAAGGTTCCGAAGGTTTTCAATGTAACAATTTTAAGCTACATATTATTCTACTTTTGACTATAAATAATATATTTGCGATGACCTTGTCTGAATGGCCATGAATGTGTACGGTCAATGCAAGGACCACAAAATTAAAACATTCATTTAAATTTTTTTAAATCGGCGTGAGTAAATGAAATCAGTTGTTATTGCTGTTTGGCGCTGGAAAATAAATTTAAATAACAATGACAGCCACAGAAATCACACATGTCGCAGCTCTTTTGCAGGGGCGGACGTGTGACGATAAGTGTGAAGGCAACCACCGAAATTATGAGAAAAGTGACAGATTTTCTTTTCGAAAAATTTAATTTTGTAATTAATTATACGAGTACATAGATTTATAAAAATATATGTTGATACGTATAACAAATATATTGAAATAAACCTATCTATAAGACTTCGACACGGATTATTGTGAAATTCTGTAAGAGAAATAAACAAAACTAACATGTATGGATGCAATTACAATTACAAGGAGCTGGAATCACACAAGGCATGAAACAATTACATTCCGAGATGCAAACCATTCTATGCCTTTGTCTGCGAAAAGAACACACCATTAAAAGTGGCAATTGATTGTGAATTCGATTAATACATACAAGTCACGTTCCTCCATATCTGCCCGTAACATATTACTAGCCTGAACTTGATCCATTCTCTGTAGATTCGACACATCCCTTTTGGGCTTTCTATTTTCAGTGATTTCTACGTGTCTCTTTTTTACAAGTGATTTATCCTTAGGCTTTTCTTTATGTTTTGTAGAAATCACATTTATTTTTTTTTCACCCTTATATTTATTATTGGATTTCTGAAGAAAATGATTATCATCAAACTCTTTACGAATTTTCTTTTGAGTCATAGTCACCTTCCTTCTTCTTACCTTGCCGCGCAAATAATTAATCACTGTAATAGAATCTAAAACTTTCTTAACATTTTTTTTGTTACCCTCAGATACATGTTCTGTTAATTTAATTGATTTATTAGAAAAAGCATCTGGATAAATATTAGATTTTTTTTTACCATCATCATTTTCTATGTCTTTTTTTGGTTTTCTTTGTTTAGACAAAAGCATTGACATCCTAGTAGATTTCTTCGGTTCATCTTTTTCATTTTTTGATATTAACTTTCTCTTTTGAATGGATGACTTGCGTTTTTTACTTATCGGTTTAACTTCATTGCGGGGGTTTTCTTTTTCACTATTTCCCTTTTTACCTTTCTTCCTTTCATTTTCCTCCTTATCACCTTTCTCTTTTTCACCTTTCTTCTTATCACCTTTCTGCCTTTCACCTTTCCACCTATCACCTATTTCCTTCTCACCTTTCTCCCTTTTATCTTTTCTTTTCTTTTCAGTTTTCCTCTCTTCGCTTTTTCTCTTTTCATGTTTATCTTTTCGCTTTTCACTTTTTTCTTTTACGTCTATTTTTTTTAAATCGTCTTTTGTTAATTTTTTCTTACTGAGTTTTTCCTCCCTGTTTTCTTGCGTTACATTAGCCTTTGAAACAACCTTTTCATGCAAAGGATCTTCACCGTTTCTAGCTGTTCACAATATAATAAAAATAAAAATTGTTCATACTAAAACAAAAAAAAACAAATTATATTAAATTTTGTATGCATATTTTTATATTTAAATTCAAAAAAATTATTTGTAATTCCACTTTAAAAAAATGTTTATAGTTCACCTTGAATTCTTTTTGAAATTGTAAAAAAAAATTTTTTTATATCTGTTCATATTAAATACTAATAATTTTTTAGTAAGGAAAATATGTTTCCTAATTCAAAGAATAATAGAAAGTCAGGCACAACAAACCAATATAAAGAACCCCTAATTAAATTTCGTAACTCTGATGAATTAGCTAAAGCTTTAATCAAATCTACAGGTATATATAATATAAATATTTAATTTTTCATCTTATTTAAGTTGATCGTATTTTAGAAGAAAGTGAGTCATTTTTGAAAGGAAATACTTTTGATAAAAATGTTGAGAGACAGTTGAAAATTCAAGAAATTCCAAAATCTCGTAAAAAGGTCCAGTTTGCAAAAACTAGACATACTAATCGTAGAAGTATAACATCCGGGCCAATTAAAGAAACACCTATCATTGATACAGATTTTAACTCAGATTTGGAGGAGCATTCGATTATCGATGGCGCTCCAATCTTATATCCTTCATTCTTGCAAAATCGAAACTACAATGAAGAGCTAAATGTTCATTCTCAAAAAGCTTTTAAGAAATTGCTTAACAATAAGTTGCCTCTTGAAAGTAAATACAACTCTTTAAAAGGAAAACACTCTGCTACATCTTATAATCGCAAGACGAAAATTGGACCCACTACCATTAGTGCAAAAGGTATTCCAAACACTGAATTTGTAGGTTACCTTCCGGATTATAGCGAGAACTCAGAAGATGAAAAAATCATATATGGCACAGCTGAAGATTTTTTAAAAAAACCTCCGAATATTAATTTTGTAGGAAACTTACTGCAAAACTCTCGGCTAAGCACGAAGGAATACATTTCTGACAGCTCCGAAGAAGAAGAAACTGCATATGGCTCTGCCGAGGATTTTTTGAGGACAAGTAAAAATTTTAATTCTGTGGAAAACTCCTTACAAAACCTACCAACTACTAAAGATGAAATATCTCACTTTAAATCGGAGGATTCTGATCAATATGATTACATACCCAAAAAAGAGAAAAATATGAATACAGTCATGGGTTTATCAATTAAAAGAAATGGGGAATTGTGTTATCCAAAAGTTTTAACTACGCCACCTAACATAAGTAGATATTTAATGGACGAAAACTTAAAAGATACTGATTTGAATTTAAATCAACAGAAAGCCGAAGATCTAATTGAGAAACTTAAAGCAAAATTCAAAATCACAGACAACACGCATGAGAATAAATCCAAGGATTTTGATGAAAGTACTTCAACTCGATTGCCTATGATCAGTCCCAAAGTAGCACAAACCGATATTCGTAGTGATCCCAAGGTAAAAAGTCTACTGGACAAATTGGCTACCTATTCAAATTCAAATGCTGATAAAGCATCGGAACTGGCGTCAAGTATTAATGAAACTAAAAACAAAGAAAATAAAATTGATGAACTAATAAAGCAAATATCTTTTTACGCTTCTGAATCACACAAAAGAGTTAACGAAATCAATGCCTTCATCAGTCAGAGTAAGGAAAGTTTGGAGAAAAACATGAATGACCACATAACAAAGCGCCAAGCCCTTCTACAATCAATGCAAGAAAGATTTTCCATTAAAATGCGGGATATTGCTGATACATGCAAATTATTGGAACAGGACAGTAAAGATGTGGAAAGCAATGAAGATACCGAATAATTTAAGTTACTCATTCAAAAAAAACTCTTAATATATTTTAATTAAATTTTTTGTTTCTTCATAGAAAACTATTAGTAGTGTTGTTTCTTTTTCTCTTTATTAATTGTTTTAAACGGATTTTATTTTTTTTCTTTAAAATTTTTTTATTCTAGATTTTCTGCGGAAAATATTATTTATTATATGGAATTTTATAAAATCGCGATTTTTTCTGTAATTTTCTTTCTTTCACTGTTTCTTACTATTATTAGGACAGAGTAGGTTATGCCAGCGAACTTAATGACCCACTTAGCTCTATTAGCCCATTGTATTTTCGTATAAAACCTTCAAAGCTTGGAAACTATCTTGAATCTTTGACAAACCCTAAAATGTTCTTTAAAAAAGAAATCCTGAACTTGGACCTGGACCAGATCCTCATAAATGTAGAGTTCTAGCATAGTCAACAGAAACCGCGCGTGCTCCAGATATTAACAAAGCAGATATTGTCCTCCATACAACAGCACCAAGAATAATTACAATAAAAATAATATGTTTACGTGAAATCTCATAAGATTGCTGAAGTTTTTCTTAATAAAACGCAGCTAACTTCCATACAGATGGCTGCATATTGTTGAGTCTTCACACCTTGTATTAAATTGCTGAATGCAGAAAGATTTCAACTATTAATTATTTGAAACACCCCATCTGTCCAGCTCGTCGGCCTTTAAATTGTCGAAAATAGCCGTATAACCGGAAACACAAGGTTGAGAAATGTTAAACTGCGTCGACATCGTATTCAGATATGTCTAGCTGTCAATAATCGTCCTGAAGGTGAAGTGGACTGAACTTAATGACTCATATAAAATCAAGTATAAATTAAATAAAAATTGATGTGTTGTATGAAGCAATAAATTACTGCAGTTGCTGCTATTCTTATTTTTATTATTGTTATGTGAGTATGCGTGCGTACGTAGATATGAAGTGAAGTAAATACGAAGTTTGCTGAGAAATAACTGTATTTTAACAGTTAGTTTATTGAACTAGTGTTCAATACAACATCATTGTTACCAGAAATATAACTGATTTGGTTTCTAATCTCAAAGCAGGATTCATTCAATACTGTACAAGTATTTTTTCGATAACCTGTAGGTGAACCTATTGTTTATGACTAATTTTATATGTTGGTATGTATGTTATTTTTTTTATCGATGTAAACATAACTTTTTGTCAAAACATGTTAAAGTAGTTTAAATGTGAACTACGGATTGGTATCGTCTGCATATACAGAGATTTATTACAGGTGGGGAGGGTTCATATGGATCTTTCATTTAATTTAAAAAAATCCATATATTTTTATTGTTAAATGATTAAAATTATTTTAAGGTTTTAAACTACACTACCTCCTCTATCCCCTCCTAATAGATCCTGTAGTTCATAACTCTCTATTACAAAATATGCGCTTGTACTTCTTATAGAAAATTTAATATAAACGATGATAATAAATTTAGTTTGATAATAAATTTGTTTTTGAAATTCGTTGAAATTGGAATTTATAAATTTATGATGCGATCTTTCCAATAAATTGTATTCTTCATATCTAGTTCTAGAACCAGACATCTACCCTACTCAGTGATATAATGCTTATATCAATACCTGAATTATTATCTACAGCGAATGGATCTAAGTTATTGAGCCAGTTCACAGTTCTCGTCCTCAATGTTTCAACATTGACAAAGAAGCCAAAGAAGCTACACCAGAACGGAGGAATTATCCGGATAATAACAATAACAGTAACGACTTAAGTAAATAAGGTTTTTAATGTAACAATCTTAAGCTACATATTATTCTACTTTTGACTATAAATAATATATATCGGATGTCAGTGACAGATTTTCTTTTCGAGAAATTTAATTTTGTAATTAATTATACGAGTACATAGATTTATAAAAATATATGTTAATACGTATAACAAATATATTGAAATAAACCTATCTATAAGACTTCGACACGGATTATTGTGAAATTCTGTAAGAGAAACTAACAAAACTAACATGTATGGATGCAATTACAATTACAAGGAGCTGGAATCACACAAGGCATGAAACAATTACATTCCGGGCTGCAACCTATTTTATGCCTTTGCCTGCAAAAAGAACACACCATTAAAAGCGGCAATTGATTGTGAATTCGATAAATACATACAAGTCGCGTTCCTCCATATCTGCCCGTAGAATATCACAAGCCTGAACTTGATCCATTCTATGTAGATTCGATACATCCCTTTTGGCCTTTCTATTTTCAGTGATTTCTATGTGTTTTTTTTTTACAAGTGATTTATCCTTAGGCTTTTCTTTATGTTTTGTGGAAATCACATTAATTTTTTTTTCACCCTTATATTTATCATTGGATTTCTGAGGAACATGATTATCATCAAACTCTTTACGAATTTTCTTTTGAGTCATAGTTATTACCTCCCCCCTTCTTACCTTACCGCGCAAATCATTAATCACCGGAATAGAATCTAAAACTTTCTTAACATTTTTTTTGTTACCCTCAGATACATGTTCTGAATAAGTGTTAGATTTTCTTTTACCATTATCATTTTCTATGTCTTTTTTTGGTTTTCTTTGTTTAGACAAAAGCATTGACATCCTAGTAGATTTCTTTGGTTCATCTTTTTCATTTTTTGATATTGACTTTCTGTTTTGAATAGATGAATTGCGTTTTTTACTAATCGGTTTAACTTCTTTGCGTGGGTTTTCCTTTTCAATCTTTCTCTTTTCACTTTTTTTATTTTCACTTTTCCCCTTATCACCTTTCTCGTTTTCACCTTTCTTCTTTTCACTTTTCTCCTTATCACCCTTCTCCTTTTCACCTTTCTTCTTTTCACTTTTCTCCTTATCACCTTTCTCCTTTTCACCTTTCTTCTTTTCACTTTTCTCCTTATCACCTTCCTCCTTTTCACTTTTCTTCTTTTCACTTCTCTCCTTATTACCTTTCTCCTTTTCAGCTTTCTCCTTATCATTTTTTTCTCTCTCACCTCTCCACTTATCACTTTTCCGCCTATCACCTTTCTCCTTTTCATCTTTTCTTTTCTTTTCAGTTTTCCTCTCTTCAATTTTTCTTTTTTCATTTTTTCCTTTTTCATCTTTCCCTTCTTCTTTCCCGTCTTTACCTTTCCGTTTCTCACTTTTTTCTTTTACATCTATTTTTTTTAAATTGTCTTTTGTTAATTTTTTCTTACTGAATTTTTCATCTCTGTTTTCTTGTGTTTCACGAACTATATTAGACTTTAAAACAACATTTTTATGCAAGTCTGGTTCATTATATTTATTACGCATTTCAATCTCACAAGGATCTTCACCTTTTCTATCTATTCACAACGTAGTAAAAATGAAAATATATTATACTAAAACATAAAAAGCATAATATTATATTGACGTGTTTATAAACTTATTAACGGATATAGATCAATAATTTCAATTCCGATTTATTGGAGTTGAGTTTTTAATCACATTACCTGGAGGTTGTTTTTCAGATGAACGATGTATTCTAAGGTTAATACTATTTCCGCCACCAAATAAAGTGTACTTTTCTTTGCTTTGCTCCTTTTCGAATTCCTGGAAGATTTTTCGGCAAATTTTCTTCAAAATTTCATAGGTTCGCCAATTGTCAGCACCAGTGGTGCAACAACATTGGCAAACATGCGGGCAGCATTTGCAGGAGTCCTTTTTCCGCTGAGCACACTCGGAACTGTTGTAGCCATAATGAAAAACTTTTATATTACCAGAGGTCTCACTGTCTGTGTACTTCGCACTTACCTTGGATTATTAACGCTAAATGAATTAGAATTATATACCATTTTAGAGGACAAACATCTTTTAAGCACAATATTTACAAATATTTAATTTCATATAAAAAATTTTACGAGAATTTAAAAATCTAACTTCCTTTATATTGTATAAAAAGGTTATTAATATTCAAGCTGTCAAATCAAGAAATTTATATAAGAAGCAAGCTACTATAGTCCAAAATATTTTTCATTTACTACACAGCTCTCAGGTTCTATATAATACAATTCATTATTAAATTACTTTTTAAAAAAGTAAAAAAGACTTAATTGGACTAGGACTAGGACTAAAAATTGCAAGGACTAAAAATTGTACTCAACAAATAATTCTCAACACCATTTACTTATAACTGACATTATATATAGGTATGTAATAATACTCAGTAGTTGACAAGGCCTTCAGGTTTAAACGAAAAACACATTTTTGTCTATTGCAAAATTATGATCAAAATGAAAGTTAAACTTAATTTGGGATTAATGTATGTATTGCTTATAAGGAAAATGTGAATGTCATAAACCAACAAATACAAAATTACAAGCTATATAACATAACAGAACAAATAATACAATGACCTAAAAGAATGGCTTCTCAGTAAAAACGTGGAACAGATAGTAAACTTACAAGTGATCAAATAGTCAATCAATATTTTCCGTGGAGCCATCAGCTATAATTTTGACCATTAGTTAAAATATTTGGCTAATGTGGTAAAAGCAACTCACAGAACAGCAGTACATTTATCTATTATTGGGGATCCCAAATATTAGCTATCAAATTAAAAAAAAATCGTATGAAAAAAAATCAAATTTATCTTCAGGGCAACATACTAAGTTTTCAACATCTTAACCCACTTTAACCTCCTGAGGAATGCGACCTCAGCTAAATGTCTTTCAAAGTTTGACGGCTGAAATCTACTTAACTTATTCCTGAGGGATGGTTTTAGTTGATTCAAGTCTCACACACTGTATATAGTCTGACAAAACCCTTAGTGTCATAATGGGTATTAGATCAATTCATATTGAGATCATAGTGTAGAAAACGCTTCATAAACAACAGAGATTTACCTGGAAATGCAAAAGTAATATAACAATAGTTGTAAGATATGTATACAGATAACATTATTGGTCCACGCTTAAATGTTCGTACCACTTGAATATCTCCAATAACAGCTGCACTGACTTCTAGGTTAGCCAGAGTACATGTTATTAGAATGCATAAAATTTAAAGTGATTAGAAGCAATTTAAGTTAGCATACTAAAGCCAAAAAATAGAAATTAGACCATTTAATTTTATATTGCCCACTAACTGAAAAATTAGAAAATGTTCTGTTCAAATTTATTAAAACAATTAAGACAATCTTTCATTGAGACAATCTTGATCTTATTGACCACAGAATTTTGATAAAAAACAGATTATTACTTAGCAAAAAATGTTAACTTCAGGTTTCTGATACATAGGAAGAAAAGTTTATTTGGACTTACATACCATATATTTTTACTTTTTCTAACATAGTTTCTTGCTTATATTAATTAAAAGTAAGCCGGTAAGATAATTATAATGTTTAAAATTACATCAATTGTTATTAACTCAATAAATGTGTAACAATAAGTTCTGTTCTCATACAAAATCCATACAAAACTGTGCTAATAATGTTCTGAAGTAATGGGTATAAACATAATACGCACTACTTTACAATCTCATTTTCTAATTACTTGAGCACTAGGAAAGTCTAGTTTTAGGAAATAGAGCACTGAAAGTTTGTGCAGCCTTGGCTACGAGTTCTAAGCCTGGCACTTGCAGTCCATACAAATTATTTACGGACTCTAAACCAATTAAATTCGATTATTCCCTAAAGACCACTGATGAGGAATACTTTGTAATACTCGAAACAGTGTTGTATGGTCAGCCAAATTTCAATAAAATTAAATAAATTTTTGTGTTTGTTCTTCCTTTCTTTCTTTGCTATTCGAAGACCCTCTAAATTTGAAAATATCTTTTTTGTTACTATATAAAGAAAGCGTAGCTTTTTCAGCAACATTAATACTTATTTTCTAATAATCTGATAATCTCATATGTTAAGAAGTAAGTTTCACTGCCAAAATGCACAAATTGCTGATAGTTTTCTATTGGATAACTCTTAACTTCACGTATGACGTGGAACAATTAATTATAAAATTATTTACTGTATAGAACAGTTTTTAGACTTTCCTATCCTTGAAGAACTAAATGAACCCATAAAAAACATTTTGATATACGATAAAAATGCTTATACTGGATTCACACGAGAGTTTTATTCATAATTTTAGCTGTCACAAATTTTCATTTCATTTGCAACAACAATTGACAGCCAAAATTACAAACAAAACACTCGTGTGAATCCAGTATTAAGGAGATTTTAATGATATAGAACCTATTTTATACTAAAATTACCCTGACACATTTGCTCATAGTATCATTTGGTGATATTACCATCTATACGGTAAACGATTATATGAAAACTAGATAAAAATCAAGCACATATTTACTTTTAAAACATAAATATAATATATATATGAAATATCTTAAAAAATGTAATACTGTGTACTTCTCCTTAGCTGGCTGCCTCACATAGTCCTGTAAAATTTTCAAGCAAATTTTCTGTAAAATCTCATGACTTCTTGGATTGCAATCGCTGTTGAAAAAGCAACACGAGCAAATATACGGACGACACATGGATTTACGTTGCAGTAACGAACAACTACAACTAAAGGTCTTTAAGTCCTTGCACTGTTCTTTTTCGTAGTCCTGGAATATTTTTGTACACCTTTTCTGCAAAATTTCATAAGTTTGTTGGTTGTTAATGCTCTTAACGGAACAACATTGGCAAATGCAAGGACAATATTTTTCCCATGAATGTTGTAACGATTCAATTTTTATTTTTTTCGGGCAGTTTGAGCTTTAAGAGGTATTATAAAAAAAATCAATTAACATTGTGTTGATATAAAATAATCATGTGGTCCACATACCTGAGCCTACCAACACCACCTGATCTGAAATTATGGAGCATTTTAAAATGGTGGCATGTTCTGGAGAGAAGTGTTAATCAAAATTGCAGGAAAAATGAAAACTGGAATTTAGGAATTATTTGACAGCATCTTGAAAGATTATTCATTATTAAAACCCAAAGATTAAATCAAACGATTTTTGCGTTAGCCTACTTTACTATAAAATATTTTGATTTTCGAATTATGAAGACAAATACATATGTACAGATATGAAGAGAAATATATAATTTTTAGAGACGTCAAGCAATTAATACAATATGTTATAAATCTATATACAAAATAAATTTTTTTTTATTTATAATCATAATCATATTTAATCGTGCTTACATAAGGAGGAAGAGCAAGAAGGAGAAAGAGAAAATATACTATTATTGCCATAACAAAAAATAAGAACCTGAAATCTCTGCAGCATAAAGTCATTATTTAATTATGTATAGACAACTACAAGTGGAATAGAAGAGAGGGCACAAACTGAAACTAAATAGTAAATATATGATAGGTAGCTTTTATTACAAAATAAAAGAAAAATGGAAATGGAAATGATAGACGGTGGTTTGTTAAGAACCCAACATATATGGAAGCATAGTCTCTTTATCTGAACTCAAAATCCAAAATTAATTATGGAAAAGGACAGTAGAAATTAGTACCGTTCGTAAACGTAAATAAAACGAACATTACACACATATAATTTTCTGTGTAAAATACCAAACACATAAAATCGTAAAACAACAACTCTCCCTTCAACTTTTGCTCACGAAGTCTCCAAATAATATCCCTGCGAATAAAAACTGCATATTCGGATATTCTAAGACTCCGGATTTACAAAAAATCCGATTTTTTTAACCTCGGAGAGTTCGTTGTTATCTGATTAATCGAATAATCGAGAAATTTTATTAGGATTCCAACAGAAACCTCAGGTATATGCTCCAGTCCTGTAAAACTAACAGCCTCCAAGTACTTTTATCGAGTTCTCGAGAGAGCCGGGCAATTACATAGTCGATGCTCCAGAGTTTCCTTTGCATTCGGCTCGTTGCATTTTCTACCGTCATCGCTGTGAGTTAGGTTTAGTTTTCAGGCATGTGATGCGACCAGACAGTGACCTGTCAACACACCAATTAATGTTGTACAGTTTTCAATTCGACGATATAACATCCTTGGTGTACTTTTCTTCGTATATGTGTCTACACATGATTCTAGCTGTGGTTAAGTTCCGTCACCTTACCTTTGCTCTCTTTGTGATGTACTCATCCAGAAGTTTATGTATTTGTTTCAGAGGTCTGCGTACTTCACTCATTTGTTCCTCTGAAAGTTTTGCGCCAATAGCATCAACTGTCTCATTTCCCTCTATGCCTTTATGACCTTTATGAATGTGTAAATATAAATAGTTTATAAAATTTACATTTTTTGATGAACATTACGATAATATTAATTTATTTTACTGCTTATAGCGACTATCGGTTATAACAATCGGATTGAGACTTCAATATCTTTATAACTATTTTTGACTCTAATATATTTATAAGACACCGAGTACCAAAATATATATATAGATGATTTCATAAATAACATGTTTCTGCATACAGCTTAACTTTATAAAGAAAATAAACTTTTTTTCCACCACATATATTATCCTCTTTATACCTTGCAAGGACTAAGAAGATGTAATTTAAATTTAAAAATTATTGTAAAATTGTTACAATTAGATTAAAATTTAGACTAAAAATCAATTATTGACTTTCTGTCACTAAAACTTAACTACGACAAAAGCAAATAATTAAATCGGTTCAATGTAAGAACTGTGTGAAGGCGTAAATTTTAGAAAATATTAAAAAGTTTAACGTAATTTTTCATTAAAAGTGAATCTGACACTTACATTTTCTACGAAAGCGAATTGAATGGAAATCGTGAAATAATTTTGCTCGCTTCGGGAACGACACATCAGTAATTTAATAACGAAATTATGCACTCCGGTAGTTCCAATAATGACGAGCCAAAGACACCGCAAACGCAAACGCAACCTCACAGAATTACGAAGCCATACAGAAGAGGTACATAAGAGGTACAATACGCACAGCACATTGCGATGTTAATGCGACGTCACACATGCGTGGTTTTGGCATTTTGGCATTTCTCGCAGGAGAGGAGAAGTACGTGACTTCGCTGGTTGATATCTAAACACCCATATAAGTCCATATATATGGACGTACTTGTGTCTACACATTATTATAAAATCCTGCATATTATTAGGTAATTTTGCAATTTGACAATAATTTGCCACAAGTTATTTCATTTATTTTGCCTTTATTTTTTAAGTAATTGGTTTCAACATGAGAGATTATCTATTTTGTGGCTGCCTTCGATGTAATTTGAATGGATTTGGTAGAATGACTTCCTCAAGGCATGGTTGAAACGTAATTTTCGAGTACGTCTTGATGCGTTTTCATTGAGTGTTTAAATATATGAAATGCCTAATGTGTCGGTTCCAAATAGTTGACAATTCATAATTTGTATTAACTGCAACGTTTAAATTAATATCTTTAAGTCTTGTAATAAAATTTGTAGTTTTGTGTAAGAAGAGAAATAGTTAGAGATAATTGATAGTATATAAAGCGCTTAACTGACTTTAATTTCATCAGTTCAACTTTGGTGTTTAAAAAAAGTGGTGTGTTATTTATAAAAATTGTTCGAAAGGACTGAAAAGCAAGGACATAAAACAATAAATAAAGGAAACTGTTAAAATAAAAATCTAACTATGAATACTGTACAATTAAAATATATTATCTACTTAAGCTGTTTAATTTTGTTTAAAAGTGTTCTGGCTGTGCCTAAATATGATGGAACTTCAAAGTGAGTTTATAAGAATTACAATTGTTATTATTTAAAATGCTTGAATACAGCTAAAAGTTGTTTACACAATATTGTCTGTTTAATCCTGATAATAAAAAAAAACCATTGGAACTAATAAATCTAAAGCACACATATACTATTTCAAAGATGGAATCTAATGAAGTCAATCCGCGTAATAAAAATGTAATGAGATGTAATTACACTACAATTTATTCAGGTATCATTCCTGGACCTATACTCAATCGAAACTCAAAATTTTCATGTCCGCTAAAAATAGTTGCAATATATAACAAGTACTTAGCTAAATATGTACATGTATATTCAACAATAGCCGTAATTTTTTCTTTCAGAGTAGCAAAAATATACTTACAACTTACGAAAGAAAACATATGAAGCAACAACAAAGTTAGGTTTTACTCGCAAAAATTTATCCACTTAAGTTTTAAGTTTTGGTGCAGCCAAATTCAAAAATCTCTCTATTGTGAATTATATTCACATTTACTAATAAATTCTAATACATAAATATATAAATTAATTTAAATATATAAGATAAAAATACCAACCAATGCCTTTCTAATATTCGTATTGTTTTCTCTTATTTAAATTAATTTTTAAATAATTATAGTGTTTACAATTTTTAATATTTTCTATAAAAATACACAACAAAAAACTTGTGTCAAAAAAAGCATTTAACATATTTGAAAAGTGATGCCAATTAGTTTCAACCAGACTTAATGTTGTGTTTTTACAGCTCTGAAAGAAAATATTACGCCTAATATTGAACATCTGTACAATACAGTAATAACCACATACACAACTTAAAAAACTTCGATTAATTTTATATAAAATCCACAATATAAAATCAACTTTAAAATATAAAAAGTTACAATACCCTTCACACACACATATGTAGTGTCTAAACTGTATCTGTGTCTAAAGTATCTAGTACACTTTTACTTTTAATGTCTGTGACCACTTGGATGATTCACTGCAATTATGCAGTGGAAATAAGTTATTCAGATGATTTTATGGAAGTCGGCTTGGAAGCGCAGATTATCTTCCTGAAGGAATATATATTGCTTTTGATTTACTAGACTGCAGTTCTGGATGAGTGTACTTAATCACAAAATCGAACAATTTCAGCGATCTATCCTTTATATACTTTTGCCACCTTTAATTGTAATAATTAAATTGAAATTAATATTCGTTTTTAACACGTTTCATTCATATTTCTTTTTCTAATTTGTTAATAACAAGATTAGATACTTTTAAAAAATATTATTAAAAAACTCATTCAAATGCTTACAGAGACTTTTCCAATCAACCTCAGTGGCGTCGCTCATATTATAATGAAAATAAAACTGAAAAAATCGAACAGGACACAGCCTCAACAAAGGATAGATTGCAACGTCTTGGTTACACCACCGGCTATGGAACGATTCAGGTATATTTTATAATTAATTTTTAAATTGAAATTTAATTTTAAACACATAAACGCATGAATCAAATAGGGCTACCCAGGAAGTACAGGCCTGTCTGCGTATAATCCAATTAAATTAGATCTTGGTGGCGTTGTACTGGGCACACTGGTTGGGATTGGTGCTATTATAATAATACCCAAACTTTTAAGTGCATTTCATGGTGGTTACGCGGGATACGGCAGAAGTAGGAATTACATCAAGTAATAAAACAATTTCACTTGTATAAGACACACTTTTTTCGTCTAGGTGAAAACGACAATGATTTGTCTTCTGTTGGCAACATGATCAACAAAATCGATGATATTCTGGGCCAAAATAATATCGATTCGACGAGCTGTATGCAACGCGCTGTCTGCAGTTATGTGCGTACAACAGAACAAAACATGAAGACGGGGGTCTCAGACCAAATGGATGAATTCATTCATATGTTGTCTGAGTAAGTAAATGCATGAGTCAACATTTATTTTAATAACAGGTGATGTTGTTTAGATTTAGCTAATTTAGTTGATTAAGCTAATTTAACAACAATATTAGCACGAACTTTATAAATAAATTTTCGAAGGGAAATGACTTCCAACTTATAAATATCGAAAGGCCAACATAAACTTGAGAAATCTATTTTATCAGAATAAATTCAAATGTAGCTGAAGTAAATTAGAATATTCAAAAAATTATTTTATTCGCTAAAAAAAATCTTTTTTAGCAAATAAAAAAAAATTGAGATTGTAAATATGTGCTTATGCATAATTATAGATCGCACACGTAAACAATTTGTAGAAAAATTCAAAAACAAAAATATTCCCAAACCCACTAAATACCAAAAACTGGCAAAAGAAAGAGAATTTTTGTGGGCGAATGTTTTGTTTATCGTAGTTGGAGGATTCCAAATTTATTTATTAAAAATATTTCAAAAGCGTTACACCTCGATTTCTTTCTATTATATATATGTATATGTCTGTATGTATGTGTAATTGATTCATTCAAAATGTTAATGACGTACACATCCGTTGAATTCTAATCTTTAAATTCGAGCGGTAACACTTTGCTATCACAATTGAACTGAGGTTGTAGCCTTTAGTAATTCATACTACTTCTAGTGACTTAGAGCTATATAGTATAAAAATTAAATAAATTTTCAAAAAATATATATATCAAAGTCAGGATATATACCTTACTCTTAGTTAACTTTTAAAATTTATTTTAACGTTAACTCACAAATAAATAAATAATAAAGTATATATCAAAATAATATTAAAACCAGGAAATCCCTCCTAATTTTGTTCTAGTGCAATTACAATCTATAGAAAAAACCGGTTCGATTTCGGTTCAAGTTTTCGCTCTGTTAAAAATATCGGCTTTTTTCGTTTTAGTTCAGAGTGAATATTTTTTACCTAGATTACAAGTTTTTTTCTTCATGAAAGATACCGAACTGTATTGAGTCGATATAAACTGCTACATTTTTCGGAAAGGTTTCGATTATTGCTCCGGTAATGCTACAGTTTTAAGTGAAAATTTTTGTGTTAAACTACAAATCATTTTTTTTATAAATAAATTGTTTTAAAAAAACATAGTTAATAAATTTAATTTTAGTTTTAGATTTAATTAATTTAAGTTTAACCAACATGTACCGAACTATAGTTTTGCAGTACCGAAATAAACCGCTGTATATTTTTAAAATCGTTTAAACATTTCGATCCGGTAAAAATATTTATTTTTGTGATTTTCGATTTATATTTTACTTACTTAGCCTTAATTCAAACCGCAATTCCTCAATTTTTCTATAAATATTCTATATACTAAAATCGCACAACGTACAATACATAAACGTAATACATTACTTCAGAGGTGATGGGTTTATTTCGTCAGACCACATTTCTCGGACATATATTTATAACAGCAGTTTTTTTTTAGCAATTTGTGATCCTACAATAGATCACAAATTATATTAAGTATTGAATATAAGATAATAATTAATAATAGTCACAGTAGTTATTGGTATCATTAGAATTTATATTCCAAATTGCAAATTGAAAATAACCTAATCTTACCAACTCTAATTTACTTACAATTTCTCAATAAATTTTTAAAAACAAATTGTTATTAAACAAATTTTTTTTAATTTCTATTTATAATAGCAAATATTAAAAATAAACTTCTTCTTCTTCAACACTTAATATTATACCTGTCTATAATTTGTTTAAACCAGAAATTTTAATGAAGCAATTTTCTATTTAATTTCAACATAACAGCTTCTATTAAAAATGTCTGCATCTCTTCTCTATTTCCAAATTAGTCATCCATTTTTTTATATAAAATGGATTTTCTATAAATGGATTTTATTCTAAATAAAATATTTTAAAATGTAAACAGTTTTAGTTTTATTGATTGTTTTTTTAAACTTATTAAAGTTAATTTAATTGGTCCTTTTTTCTTTTCTAGAAATTCTTTAGTTGACTACCTGTTGGATGGTACTGCCATCAAAGAAGCATTGGAACATGGAAAACAGGTTAACGGTAAAGTATGCGAAGAAGTCTATTCATCGTGCCCACTTGATAGTAAAACTGCAACGCAAGTCCTCATGAAACTTCTACCGAAGAAAGCAGCAGATAAATCAGCTTCATAATAAAAAGCAAATTCTCCATATAAACTCATTATGGATTTACTAACGAAAGTATTCAGAATAATACAATTTTAATTTTAATGAACTAATAATATTTCTTATATATTGTATTGTATAATTTATTAAGATGAAATAAAAACTAATAAAATAATTTTATTGTTTTGTGTCTTGTACTAATATAATATACATGTCTACTTCTTCAGATTTGATTGTAGAGTAGACCTTAAGGTCTCTGCATAAAATACTCAGAAGAAATATTTTTCTTTACTCAGTATTTAAATACTGAAAACTCCTATGCTCTGAAAACTCCTCAGACAGACAGTAATAATATAAGTTTAAGTAATTTAATTGTAAGACCTATATAGTGATCGATTCACAAATCTGTTACCATGAATTATTTCATATTTTGATTATTTAATGTATATCAAAAGCATGCAAAAGACATGCATAGCTAACAGCTTAGTTCATGAATGTGTAACCAAACTCATGGAATGTGCTCATGGAAATGAAGTAACGGTCATGTGGGTTAAGGGACACATTGGTATTGAGCAAAACAAGTAGGCAGATGAACTTGCAAAGCAAGGATCAAGCCATAACTTCTACGGCCCAGAACTCAGAACACCATTGGGATACAAGATGATGACAGCCTATGTCTATAAATGGATAACCTCACTTTATCTCAATAGATGGAGAGAGTTGAGCACTTGTAGACATATCAAACTCATGTTGCCGAAGCCGTGGGTCAAGGAAGCGATAAAAGTACTTAGCTATCCGCGGAGCACCCTAAGCTGGCTGACCACACTAATTACTGCACATGGCAACTTCAAATATCGAATCAAAAAGGTAATTCTTGCTGAGGAAGACACTTGCAGACTATGTCTAGAAGAAAAAGAGACAGCGATGCATATATTGTTATGTTGTGATGATGTCCAATACTGGCAAGTAGGGCGAAGACCGTCGTGGGACACCATTGGGTTGGTAATGACTTGGCAGACAACCTGAAGCTAAATGAGCTGCTTGCATTAACAAGAGATGTAGTTATGCGAACGGAAGCCACTCCAGCTTTAACTCAATAACGTTATCCGAGAATAGAAGAACGAAAAAGGACCCAAGTAGTTTCGTGGTCTACTTCGGCTAATCCTTCACTTCAGTGGAACCATTTGTTGGACGGTGCGGTGTCCCAACGTCCCACCATAAGTAATGTATGAAGTATTGTTATATTGTTTGTCCAAATGTACAAATTTTCTAGTCTTCTGATAAATTAATCAGTTTCACTAAATTTAAAATTTCTATCTGTATACCTCAAAACTTCGTGGAATCGCCAATAATTTTTCTTTATTTTAATAATTGAATTTTAAAAAAAATATAGCTTCATAATAAAGCGTAGCTTTTTCGGCAAAACTAATTAAACTTAAGTAATAAGAGTATTTCATATTTTTAAAATATTTTCAAAATTCTGGAGTATTCTGGGTCTAGTTTCATATGGAAATATTAAACAAAAAATATATTATATTTTAATGAAGTTTAATATATTAAACTTTATTCATCCTTTTATAAACACAAAATCAAGCCTGATGTTTTCAAAGTTCATTATAATTAAAATAGTATTTTTTCTTGATCAGGACCAAGTGTTATAGCTCAGATATTATTTCTCACAAGATTTTATTTATCGCAAATCGTACTTATATATATGTATGTTCTTTTTATTTTAATACCTACGATTTTTTCTACGATTCTTTCCTTTAGAGCAAACGATGTCATTATTTCTACTTTGTCGAAAGTTGATTGACAATTTTGACAATAGTTTTGAGGTAAGAGTTAGTAGTTCGACTTTGAAGATCGTCTAATAATAAATTATTTTCCTGAAATCCTTATGTCAAACTAAAATTACTGTTCTAATCATTAAGCGCAAGTTGTACAAATTCTAAATTCCTAATGGTCTTTAGACAATTATCACTGAGGACCACGTTTCATTCATAGCTCAGATTGAACTTTTACTATTCGTGAGAAAGGTAAACCAAACAGGATTCTCCAAGAACAAATACACTATACAAGCTACATGCATATGTCCAAGCTTGGCAGAAATGTTATTTTTTATAAACCATTCTCATTAGTTTTAAATAAAAAATCTTTCTCCACAACCTTATCTCCGGATGTGTGGTGAAAAAGAGCACCACTAACATAGAAATAGAATTTCTATGTAAAACTAACCAACCATTCAATCTAACGAAAGAAGTCTTTTAAACAAATTTTATGACATTATTTACATAATTGTTGTTAGATAGAATTATCGGTCCTAATTCTAGTCCATATATCAATTAAGTTCTTAAAATATTTAAAATTGAAAAAGCAGGTGGTAGCACAAAATCACAACGCAAGGCTCTTTGTATTTGTGTAGTAGGATCTATCCACAAAGAACCTTTACTGTTGACCTCCAATCAAAGCTAATTACATTCGCTTTCCAATATCATCAAATATTATATATAATCCAATTTTATTACTTTTCGATACCAATCTCATTCATTTGACTTTCTTTCTTTTATTTAACATTCTACTTCGCTTATATACATAGAAACTTAACATTTTAATTTAGTTTTAATTTTTTATTTTTTTAATTTTTATTGTAATATTACAATTTTTTTCTATTTTAATTGTTCAAATATGAATTAAATGATATAATATTAGTGTTTTATTCAAAAGTTGCAAAATTATTCATTAGCTTTTTGTTGGCATTTAACTGCCATCAGATAACATCATCTTCTGTACATAAATTTCTATGGAATATATGAAGATCATCAAAATTAATACCCATTCTCAGTTCTTGTAGTTCTTATAGTTAAGAAGATTAAAGAAATCATTTTTTGTCTTTCCCCTTGTTAAATTTGTCTAGTAACTGCTTTAGTTCTTTCTCTTGTTCATCAATAATTGGTAACCAATGAACTGATGGTAGCACAGGCTTTGATGGCATTGGTATTCTTAAATTCTGCACTTCATCATTTTTTTCAAAATCTTTATTAATCTTTTTTCTGCTATGACTTTCTAAAATATCTACCAAGCGATTAGATTCTTCCAAAAGTTCATCCACAGCCGAAAGAAATATACCCCAAGAAAATTGTTGTTTTCCATATAAACTTCTGCGTAAGTACAATTCTGCTGGTAAGAAGCTTTTCCAAGGTTTTCTTGATTCAATGGTATATGATTGATATATAGAATTTTTATCATATCCATCGTAATCAAAATCCCAGTAGTCAAATGTTGGTTTATTCAACAAATATCCTGTCATTCTCTTAACTGAACTATCATCTTCTATTACGTTATTTGAGTTTGGATTTCTTATGGATACTTCATCAGCAATAACTGTTTCAGTTGGTGATATGTCATTTGATTCATTGATATTCTCAATTTTCTCTTGATAAGATTTGTGATTAACTGCACGGATTTTTCTTATTTGTTCCAAAAGTTTTTTTTCTACTTCATCAAAATCTTCAGAATCGGTACTGCAGTTGTCAGAGTAATAAGCCTTCATGAAATCATCACCGCTTACTTTAGGCAATAAAGTTTGAGTTGAAGCATTTGCAAATATAATCCCATCTGTCATTTGTGCAACTGAATATGTAAGAATAACTGAAATAAAAATATAAATGATTTCCAAACAAATTTTATCATTATGTTATAATTATTACATTGATCTGTATCAGAATCGGAGAAATCCTTTTTAATTGTGTACGAGCCATCAGTTAAAATTCCTACATCCTTATAGAGTATTAAGTCCACCTGTGTACCTAAATTGACTTCTTTCATTAATTTAGTCGGAGTAATGTCAGCTTGAATAGCAACAGTCGTTTTACCAGCCCTTAAACGTCTAAAGCAGAAAGTTATTAACTGAGCATTTTAATGAAATAAATATACCTTGAAGCATCCAAAAGTTTAGCTCTTAAAATTGCGTTTTTATCAGGTTTGGGTAAAGTAGACATGCTAACTGCACGCCAGGGTGGCCTCTCGGTCTCTTTGTCTGACGTCGACTCTTTTGTGCGTTTCGAACCTTTTGATGTTCTTTAATTCAATATATATATAAAAAAAATCAAGCTTTTAATTCTTTATATCTAAAAATATATAAAATTTAAACAAAATGTTGACCGTACCGATAGCACAGTGCATGTGTACTTGAACTACGACACTGGGGTTCAAACCCCACGAAGCGCTAATCTAATAACACGTTTTAAAAGAGATAAAGAGCTTTAAACAATCATTAAATTTAAAAAATTGGCTACTACAAAATCCACAAAGAGGTTCAAGTCTAACTGGTATCGTTAGAGATTGTTTGTATTCGATAGGGTAGTGAACTCATATCAGTCATTTCACTTTTGCAGTTATTCAACTATGGATACAGTGAAACGGTATGACCATTCCACAAATGGTCTTAAATCCACTGACTAAATTAAATAAAATATATGTTTATGAAATCGGCGAGCATAAATTAATACATTATCTTCAACATATCTAAACTGATATGTTTGTTAATATATAATTTCTGATGTCTGTTTTATTGCATTACAAATTTTATAAGCTAAAAATAACATATTTAAATATATCATAATATTTTACTGTAATAGGTGGCTCAGAATTAGAGAAGAGATAATAGCCCAGAGTGAGTCAATAAATCCCGAAAATATAGCGGAAAAAATTAGAGGGAATCCAGAGAACTGGTAAACGATAGAGTCATATGTGATTCAAATCCTCCAAACGAAGAAATTAGACCCAGAAAGGAGAAGCAGAAACAAGGCTAATAAATAATAATATATATTCCAAAAATGGAAAAGATTAGAGCGAACACAGAGAGCTGGCGATCCCAGACAGCTGGCGAACGACAGAACCATGTGTGATTCAAGTCCTCAAAACGAAACAATTAAACCTAGAAGGAAAACCAGAAACTAAACTAATAAATAGTGCGGACACCAAGAAAAGTGCGGCGAAAAAGTGAAGTTTTGGAGGCAGATCGAAAATCACGAGAGCATGGCTTGAAATGCCAATATAAAAGAGACCCTCCTCAAAGTAATGCGAAAGCGGTTTCGAGCGAGAATAAGTCTCGCCGAAGAGGGGATGTTTTAGTCCATATGCTACAAATTACTGTTAAGGAGACGTGCACACCATTCCGACGACGTTCGGCCTGATGATGCATAAAGCATTTCATCTCCTTACCACAAAAAAAAAAATGTATACTATATATAATATTTAAATTGTATAAATTTAAAAATTTTTTTTGAACCTACAAACACAAACGGTTAAGCTCGTGCCCTGCCAAATTTGAAGCTCAGAGTCAGTGTTCATTAGACAACTGACTCAAAGTCGTACTTATTTATTTATGAATAATTAAATATAAGAATTAATTTCAATACCACCGATGATGGATATTTGGTAATACTCGAAACAGCTATATGATCAGCCAAAAATTCAATTAATTAATCAATAAAATTTTATTGTTATAATTTAATACTGTTCGAAATACCTCTCTATTGAAAACAATAGTTTGTTTCTTCAAAATGAGCGTTAAAAATTAATTCAATATAAATTTTTAAAAGAAACATTTATTTAGACGTAAAGCGAATTTACATACGACATTAAAAGTATAAAACACATATCGGTTAACATAATACAGATTCACAAAACTTTCAAGTTTCTCAGATATACATTATATATCTATTATTATTATATATAAAATATATTTATATAGTTTATTTTAAGCTTTTTCTATGCTGTTTAAAGTAAATATTTTCAAGATATATGCAGCTTAAAACCTATTATATTTTTTACTTTTTATTAAATAACCCACAACGGGGTAGAAATTAAGAAAACTTCAGAACTTTGGGTACATTGACTTAATTAAATATAATACATTAAAAAATTATAACATATTTTAATTTTTATATATGTTTTAATAGTTTACACTAGACACTATTAACGTATTTAATATAATAATATAAATATCTAACATAAATTTATTAAAAATTGTATGTACATGTATTCTCGGAGTTAAAATAATTTTTATTTTACTAAACACAAATTAAAAAATAAACATTTTTTAACTGTTCATAAACGAAGTTTTATTTTAAAAAAATTTAATTATTAAAATCTACATATCTTTTTTTTAACTTCAAAATTAAAACTTTTTATATAGTATATATCTTCTTTACACATTAGTTATTATTTGGATGCAGTTCGCACTGTATATTATTTTAGTTAAAATAATTAGAAAAGTTTAAAAAATCACTATAAAAATAAAATAATTATAAAATGATTATATAATACAATAAATTACCGATTGCTTAATTTTGTTGCAGTTGTACTTATTGCATCAGTTGTGACACCAGCACTTGCATTAGCATCCTCAACACTTTGTGATTCACTGGTTTCGGAAGAAGCTCCACTATTATTGGAGCTTGGTGAATTGAATTTATTCATTTTTCAATATTCCATTTTAAATTTATGTATTCTTTATGCAAATCGATAAAATGAATTAACTTTTACAATTAAATTACAATAAAAATAACAATCAAAATTGTTGCTATGGATGCACAAAAGCTATAAAGATGACAAAAGGACTATACAACATCGACGCAATTTTAGGTAAAAATAAAACAATAAAATAAGAAAAAAACAAACTAATTAACAAAAATTTAAGTTTAAAATCCTAAGTCCGTTTAAATTCAGCAGGATTCTCAAGAAATGCATTCAAAAAATCCAATCCGCAAGGTAATGATTGAATTTCTTCATGAAACATGTGTAGTGGCGGATATACAATATCTCTAAAACACAGTTTTCTTAGATTAGTAATTTCTATAAGAAATTTAGACTTTTGTACTTTGTACGCTTCTACTCTTCTTAATATTTTCTCTACACAAATTTTATTATCATCTCTGAAAGGAAAAAACCAATTTTAAAAATTAATTACAGAAAACTTACATAACTTATTGCAGAAGGATTACCTGATAAGATTAGCATTTTGGGTAAAAAGAATATACCACAATTTCCGAATCATTTTTGAAATATCTTGACACACATCATCGACTTTTACCAACATATTTAATATGATCATTTCCTCATGACTCTTGCACCAATTGCGTAAATCATATGGTAGTTCCAGCTTTAGTTGAAAGTTGATGACATAGTCTATAGGTAACCAATTTTCTGACATAAAAAAAGATATACATATTTATGTTACTACATTATTAAGGATTAACTTTATTACTTTTTGGCCAAAAATTATTGTCTTTAACTTTAATTGATTCAATCTCAATGCCACGACTCAAATTGGTTTCATTATATGCTACCTCCAAGCAAAAAATTGTTACTTTTTTGTGATTAAATTGATATAAATTAAGATTTTGATAATTAAATATCCAATCTTTTGCAATTTCGCTGCAAAAAAAAAAAATTTTAATTCAATATATTTTAGATATTTCAAAATTTACTTTAGTTTATCATCCAAACGTTCAACAAACGACCGACGATCTTTCATTAATCTTTCAGCTTTAAGTTGAAGATACTCCTGTCTGGCACTAAAAAGTTAAAACTTTCAAATTACAAGCAACTAATAAATAAATATTAAAAAATAAATAAAAATAAATATAATAAGCATAAGTAAAAGCAATTTACTTAAATTGTGTAGATCGAATTATGAATTACCTTTCCATCTTGTTCTCGTATGCTTTGATTATTTCATCTGCTTCATCCACATAGTTGGCCTCCTCTTCCTCATCCACATCAACATCAATTGCCGATAAATGTTCAATATCAAAAGAGTCATTAAGTGACATTCTACGATTATATTCTACCATATCATCAATTGTTGGACGCTTGGTGGACCTTAGTTTTTTTAAACGTTCCATTGTTGGCAGGGGAAGAAATTCGGGTAACTCAAATGATACCGCCAACGTGGTTGTATCGCTGACCATAGTCTCATGACAATTTCTACATTTTCGACAAACAGATCTTCTCTTTATTGAAACATGATTATTTCTGCTTTCTAAATCACAATTCTTGTCATCAATATTTTTTAATTTTACGTCTTCAGTGTTTACGCTCTTATTCTCTTTATTATTTGTTATGTCATCGAGATATGTATCTACAAGACTCAAATGTATTTTATCTACAATTTCTGAATCACAAACTGTTATATTATCAATATTGGTACGCCTTAATGGGTATTGAGATACATCAGTGATTGTGATAGCATTCTCTTCCAATATTAAATTATCTTCTGGCATTTTAGTGTCTTCAAGCAATATAGTATCATTTTCTAATAACTCAAATATACTGTCTTTTCTTTGAATGTTTGTTTTTCGTGCAATTTCAATAGGAGCAAGAGAAGAGTTTGTGTAAGTTTTTTCACAATTTGTAGTCAGCGAAGTTAACCCAATGGAATTATTTTTCACTTCACTATTAACAGGAATCGGAATACGTGACTTTAATTTTGCTGTTGGTGTGAAGTTTGATTCATTTGCAATAACGTTTTCCATACTGACGTCTAAAGATTTACAACCCATTGTCTCATCTTCAAATGTTAAGCTTTTTTCTGGTATTTCTTCCACCAATTCATCATTTACTAAACTCTCATTCGATGCATTTGCATCAGTTGTATTTGATATACACAACCTAGTTAAATTAAAATTATTATAGTAATTTGTCATTAATCAGTCGTAAATTGATTTTACTTACCAACTAGGAGAAGACAGCACAATACACTCTTGTTGATTACAGTCATTCTGCAATGGAGTTTCCACGCTTTTCTTGCTTACAGAACCTAATTTGTCAGATTCACTCTTTAATTCAAATGAAGTTATGTTTAAACTAAAAAAATAAACTGTTTTAATTTAAAAAAAGGTATATATATGTAAAATTTTTATTACCCTTCAATTGCAGTCTTTGTATTCTTATTTTCATCACTTTTATTATGAACATCATCATTCATAGAAATATCCTTATTGAAAACAACAGTATTTCTTCTAGTAGAATTTGGAATCGTATTACTTTCAGTTGTTGTATCACCGTCAATATCCATATTGTCATGAAATAACATGGTTTGACGTTTTTTAGGATTTGGAAAATTGGGTGTTATACATTCAGTAAAGCGTTTCTTAAGTACAACCGGACTGGTAGCAGGTAAAGAAGTAACTTCAAAATTATTAATTAGTTGTAAACCTGAAACTTCTAGTTCTGTATTTTCATAAGTTGTTTGTCGTTTGGTCATAATTTTATTACATTGCACCATTTTACTGGATTCCTCTTGTTGCATGCATACGTATGATATATCTTCAGCACATTCCTTTTCTATATCTTCAAATTCAATAAGTGACTTATGTGGTGTTTCAATCGAAAAAACCTTTGGCATCTTTAATTTTATAGAGTTTTTTGGTAATATATAATCATCCCTTTTATTTAAAATATTTTTAGTATTCTCAATAGCTTCATCTGCAAAAATAATAGTCTTACGTTTGACTTTGTTTTTGGATAAGCTTAATACTTCTATGGGAGGGGTTGCGGTTTGAGCCTCATCTATACTATCTTCTAAAATTTGTGTTTTATGGGGAAGAAAGGCTACAGCTTTAGATGACCGACATTTTTTATTATCACTTATAACATCTTCCATATCTAAACTGGAATTTTCCAAAAAAAACATTGTTTGCCTTTTAGGGGTATTCTTCAAATTATTTTTAAATTTATCTTTCATATTATTTACTAATATTTCTTTGGATTCAGTGGGAGACTGAATATTCATTATAAATGATTCTTCTTTTATATCTGAAGAATGATGTTTCACGACTGAATCTTTATCATTTCCAATTTCTATATTCGACTCTTTTGTAAAACAAATAGTTTTCTCTTCCAATGCTTTGGTGACTTTGTTTGGTTTACAGTTAATTGGAGAAAATTCTGTATCTATATCATTTATATCTTCAAGTAAGTATTGTGTTTCACTTAGCATTGGCATTACTTCTGCTCTTTTCGAATTATTTTTCTCATTATTTCTTTGATTTGATTCAAACTCTAAATTCAGTCCATCTTTAAAAAAAATTGTGTGCCGCTGTTGGAGTTGATTCGGAGAATGCAATTTTTCACAAAAGTTTCCTAATAAATATTGCGTCTCACTAAATGGCTCAATCTGATCATCCAAGCTGATTTGATCTGAAAAATGTATGGTTTTTCTTTGTTTAGTTTCAGTCTCCTCTTTTGTTTTCAATAATTGTTGCTTATAACTGTTATTATTTTTAAAATCTTTTTTAGTATCATCTTCAGGTGTAAACTTTTGTTTATTTAGCAGTTTCATGGAGTTATCTATTTGTAAGGAATCAAAACTTTGTGACAAATCATCTTTTTTTTCAGTAACAAACATATGTTTCAGTGCATTGGCAGATTCCTTATTAATCTCACGCTGAGTAGTTGGACTCCTAACATAACATATATCCATCTCATCTTCACAATTATCTTCACAACTTATATTTTCCATTACACGTTCTTCTTTATTTACTGTTAACTGTAGATGACCTTGGTTCTCATTTAAAGTCTTCATAGCAAAGTCCGCGTCGTCTACATCAAACATGCTAAGCTCGCAGAAATTCTCTTCTTGCTTTGTTTTTTCATTTAAATCCAATAAAGAATTTTTTACTTTTTGACATTTTTGAGCTGGTACACTGCGATCATTAGTATTTTGTTTTTTGGGCGATATCATTTCATTATCAGTGATTTTCATTGAATCAGACTCTTGTTTGAGAGGAGAAAAGAGTTTTCTTCCAACTTGTTTCAGCGAGTTTTGTTCTACAGGATTTCTACATTTTAAAGTTATTTTGCCGCTCTCGAAATTACTATTTAACTGCTTTAAATTCATTTTTCTGTAACACATTAATTCCGGTGGTAAAATTGGTGACGAAAGACTTAAGTTAGATGTAAAACTTTCAAGAGGATTTCCTTCATCAAATGCAGTTTTTATGTCTGCAGGCCTAATATTTTCATTTTCATCATCTTGTATTTCCTCCTGCTTTTTCTGATATCGCTGTTTTTTATTACTGGCTGGAGTTCCTCCTCGTAAATTACTTTTAAATGTCTTGCGTGTTATTAAACTTCCGCTTTTAAGTGCAATTTTACTAACTATTGGTTCATCTATAATATCGATAGCAGGGGCAGAAATTTGCACTGCTGCAGCTAGAATAACATTTTAAAGCATATCATAATATATTTTTTAAATAAAAGAAATATAATCTTACCTGTTTCTGTACTTGTACAAGTAAGACGATTGCTTAAATCCTTCGTTTGAACTATTGGTTCTTTTACAATATCGGTCGCTTTAGCAAAGTTCTGCAGAGGTTGAACTAAGATAACATTTTACCAAATAAAAATTATTTTTGAATAAAAACATCTGATCTCACCTTCTCCTGAATTTATACAAGTGAAACTAATACTCATATCATTTAGTTTTTCTTCAAACGCAATTGTTTTTTGTATATTCGCGTTCGCTAAGCACAAATCCACATTTGTCTCTGGAACTATATTTTCATTACAATATATAGTTCTGCGATTACTTCCACCAAGTACATTGTTCGACATTTCCATCTTTTGTTTTTCATCGCAAAGATTTTTATTAAAATTTACTTCAAAATCGGAACTTTGATCAGAATCCGATTTAAATGACATTCGGTTCAATTTTTCATCAAAATATTCAATAGCTGCAGATATATCCATATTAAGAGTATCTGATCCAATATGATCTTTGCTTTTAAATGGTGTATATATTGGCTTAGTCTTTCTCTCTGGCACTAAAACAGGTGTAGTTTCCGTGCTATCATCAAAGCTCATGCTTAATTCAATATCTTTCACTTCTCGTACTGTATTATTTATAATTTCATTCAAATTACTATTTGTGGGTTTATTTGGGCATATTAAACTATGTATAGTCTCCGCCTTAAAAAATAAAATAAAACCAAATAGATTAAATTAAATTTAACATAATAATAAAACACTTAATGATCAAATAATAAGGAATTATTTGATTCAAAAATATTAGATGCGCTAAATAATCTAAACTCGATTATTGCAACACAGTCGAATTCTATTAGTTGCATAAATCGAGGTCATACTGTATTTTATATTAAATGCATATTATGCATATATAATATATGTATTATATATATATTATATATATTTACAAAAGAAGTAAAAAAAATACGTTTGTAGACATATGTAATATACCTGCTCCACAAATGTATTTCTCAATAAATTTTCCAATTGTTTTTTTTCCGAAATAGGTTTGCTTGGTTCCTGATTTTCTTTCTGGTTCCTCATATTTTGCAAGAGTTTAATTTCTTCTTCATCTAGCGTGAAACTAAGATTGGGTTTGTTCTTTTTTATGAATTTCTCCCTCGGTAATAAAGTGATATCCAAAGTATTATTTATATAAACGGTACTCTGTTGTTGTGTCTTGTTTATGGAATCTACTGTGTTGTTTACCGAATTATTTTCTGTTAATGAATTGCTACTCCTTGTTGGAATGTTATCCAATTTGATATTTTCTTTATTCGCACTGAATGTGTCGAGATCAGGTTCATTTATTTTCGAACATACATTTGTCGTAATCAGATTACTGCTTCCAGAACTATCAACACGATCCGATTCTTCATATGTTTTATTCCATGTTTTTGGCATTTCTTCGCCAAAAAACAATCTATAATATATTCATTATTTTTGAAAAATTATTGTTGTAAAAGGTATATATCATTTACATTACCTAACAGATTTTTTTTCGCTAAAGCTAATTCTTCTACTGGATTTTGTTGTCGTGCCCACCGCATCCTTACCATCTTTTGGCGTAAATGTTTTGAACTATTGCAAGTAAAATATTAAATATTGCAACTCAGATATTTCAAATAAAATAACATATAAATTAATTAACTGTTATTCACTCACCGAACTTCTGCGTTTCATTTCGTGTTTCTTATTATTCATAAAATATAATACAATAAAACTGTTTATAACTGCAATACAAAAACTGAGCGCTCTGTTTGAAGTTGGTAGCACTGCTTGCTTCGATAATTGTTATCGGAGTTTTGAAATGTTTGCAAACTGTGTAATTTTATGTTTTTTTTTTTTTGTTAAATAAAAATAAACGTCAATATTTTAAATTCAGTATTTAATCAATTTTATTATTAATGTATCCAATATATATTTAATACAATTATTATAAAATATAAAATATTATTATGTTATATTATTATAAAATATTTTATAAATATATATTCTTCCTTCGTATTATGAATTACCAAATTCGAACTGAATTAGATCAATGCTATCTTCAACAGTTAGTTTTGGACCGACTTCGTGTTATATTTGCTCACAATGGTGGAAAACCAGTTGCTGATTTTGCACGTACTGATTGCACCAGGACATACACAAGAATGACCTAAATATGGACACATTTATAACAATAAGACATGTTTAGACTTCGCTCGGTAACTCGATATTTCTTGAAGTCATAAAATGGAAAACAACTGAATATTCCTTTTTGATCGTTTCTCAGTGAAGTTGTGAAATAAAACAGTAGTTCATTTTATTTGCTTTGTTGTATAAAAAAGATTTAAAATATAATGGAACTTATATGTTATTTTTCTAAAACCTTGAATTATAAATTAAATTTTAATTCTTTACATCACTTTCAAATAACAAAAAACTTTTCATAATGATACCTCTACAAAAATTAATACACATAAAATTTTGAAACTTTATCAAATTACCGAGCATATCTGAATACCCCTATAGTAAAAGGTACTATACAAGATGATGATCTTTATTATTAACAAACTAAACTAAAAATCAATGCATGTTAATGGATCATCCTGACCCAAAAAAAGGATGAACCAGCAATTCATAAAAATCTTCCACAGCAATTCCTATCAAAATTGTTTCAGAATTTATGAATCTGTTACCACTTTCTATTAGTTTAAGTAAATAGTTAGCTTTGACCGTTTATAAATTCTTCAATGAATTTGAAATTCACACAATTTAAAATTTTAGGTGCAGTTCCGCATGGTACGTTCAGTTGAAAAGACTGAACGTGGTCATTTGAAAGATTAAGATAGAGTACAAAAAGTGCGCGCTAAGAATGATGGTACGTTGTAAAAAACCTTAGATATTAAGAAAAATCAAATTTAAAAACTTCTGGTATTAAACAGACTTAATCAGGCTGGGATTTAAAAAGGCTAAGAGATCATCTATACAAGGCAATGTCAAGTAGACACCTAGCACTAAGTAAGTTGCAAGGCAATACCAAGTAGACCCCTAGCACTAAGTTGAATATCAAAATTCTCACTGTATTTTTGACAACGCAGTGCAGGGTAAGGTACCATCTCAACAATATGAGAATTTCAGAGACCAATATTTACTGTATTGATAAAATAGATATTATAACGTTTGAACACATTTTTTATGAATGCCCCAAACTGAGTAGTAGCAGACTTATTTAATTTGAAGGACAGACTATTGCCCTTTTCAACATATAGTACAATACAAAACTTCCAAGGATGCTTCATACATAAGAACTCTTACATCAGTTATAACAACTGGAGTTAGCACAATAGAGTCGCGGTATATAGTACACCCACTTGATAATAATAACAACACTAATACCGCATCCTTAATTAGATCGCAAGCCTAACGCATTGTCACTATTTCGTTGTACACATCGCAGCTTAGGTTAGGTAAGGTTATACCGACGATTCCTGGTGGATCCACTTAGGCCTATTGAACCATTGTGTTACCGTATACGGAAGAAAAACCTACAACCTTTGGCAAAGCCTAAAATGCTATTTAATGTCATGTCTTGTAATTGATCAAGATCCTCAAGAAAGGGGGCTCCTAAAGTATTGAGTTGCCGCCATGCATGAGCTGAACAAGAACATAGTAGATGAGAAGCCCTCTCATCATGTTCCCCGCAGCTAAGATAGGTTTGATTGAAAGGGAGACCAAATCTTCCAGCATGGTCCCCTAGTTTACAGTGGCCTGTAAGTAAACCTACCAAAAGACCGCCGTTAGCGATATGTACAGATTACTTAGGTGTCGCAGCTTGACTGCATAAGTTATTATTGGTTTTGTTTTTTGTCAATCAATTCTAGAAAGTGTATTCTTTATAGTATTTCACTTATTTAATGTTACATTCCTATTTTTAAAATGGAAGCAAATGATTGATAAATTGATTTATTGATAAAAGTTACAATATATTTAAGAATTATTGTAAAATGCATTAATACATCTGATTACATCCTTGTTATAGCCTTCTAAATATGGTTTTCCTAATTTATAACTACAATCTGTAAACAAATCTAATTGCGGTTCATGGAACCAATAGTTTTTCAAACCATCATCCACATCATCACCAATTGCAAGCGTGTTCAATTGGAAAACGCCAAAGTGAAAACTTCTACCATCTGTTTGTATGCTTTGAATGACAATTGGTTTTGGAAGTTTTCCTAAAGCTTTTTCCTATAAATGCAAAATGATCCGATCAAAATTAATTTATATTGAAAAGAAAAATCAGTATTACCCCATAAATTTGTTTAGCACGTGCAGCAGCAACTGAAAAGGCCTTTAGCATGGTTCTACTTTGGAATTGACTTGGGGTTACGCTGCTTCCATGTAAATTTCCAACAATTTTTTTATCAAAGTGAGAAAATATTGTATGTGGATGAGAACAATTCAGTTTCTCGTTGAAAGCTGCAAATTTAAATTAATTTGAATAACTAATATACATAAATAAAAATATATATATAACAACTACGTACGATAAAAAGTTGAGGAGTCATATATATTTGTCTTCGGAATTGTTATTGTGCATTTAATGGGAAACAAAATCGGCAAGTCGACATCGTGTTCGCTCTTAACAGGTTCTATGGGACGAGAGGATGTTATCATTTTTTCCGCACTTACATTAAATTGCAAAATATCAATATTTCTGGGAAGAGTTACACGAAAATCGACATTGTCAATTATTCTTCGACGTGCTGATATTGATCGTCCAGACATTTTTTCACACTCGAATATAAGTTTATTTATTAATAAGCGACTGCAATAACAATATCAAAACATTAGTTTAATGTTAATTATTTGTAAATAACATCATACTTGCGTCGTGGATACGATATTCCGTATGTGTTTGGTAGTACATAGTACGTTCGTGCTTTTGGTAATTTTACTTGTTCGGCATCATAAACATGTGATGACAGTATGGAATGCTGAACACTACGCTCCACGGTATTAGGTATTTGCATTCGTTGAATAGCCTCAGTTATATTTTTGGGGAATCCAATAATTTCAATTGTTTTGGTTAACAATTCGGCTTGCGGAACTCCTTCCAGTAGTACATTACCATCACCATAAACATGACAACGTTTCTCATGCCAATTAGGATGAGTCTCATCATTTAAAATTTCTTTTTCTTTGTAACCAACGATTTCCACCCTTAATGTATACATAGATGGTTATAATTAATTAGCGATTTGTTATAAATTAAATAAACTTATCTACTTTTCAAATGGATGTTTTGGATTAACAATATCATTAGGATCTACCACTGCAATACCTAGCTTCTCCAATTCAGCTTGCGCGCCAGTATCATGCACAACTTTTTTACCCTGTACTTGCCAATGTTTTTTGAACATCCATCCCAAATGTTGTGCATATAATTTAGAAGTTAAGCGCATTTTATTTAATAATTATGTGGTACTATTTTCAATACAATACAAATCGTTTCAGCGCTAATATTTAAGGTTATCTAACACGGTCTAAGGTAAATCAGCTGTTTGCCAATAATATCGATTGCAAATGGTTCATGCACTTACTATGTTATCGATTAGTGCAATAATATAAGTATGACATACGGCCCAAGTAAAAACAAACGCAGAGCGATTTTTAGTTTAATCAGTGAACTCGAAAGCAGTAGAAGACTGACTGGGGGTCACATTTCGAATTAATTTTGAAAGAATTTTTAATATTGTGATATAGACGTTTTGGATGTTTATACTAGCTAACACAGCAACATGGTTTCATCAACTTGCAGTCTTAATTCACAATCATTGATTCAATCAAATGTTAATATAATTTCTTAATATTAAAATCATTGTTAAACAGAAAGGAATAAGTCTGAAATTAACAGCAGGATTACTCCAAAATATTTAGCATTTTCCATCTACCGGCGGCAGCAGTAAATATTTTACCTAAACTTACCTTAATTATAAAAACTAAAAGAAAAAAAGACATAAATATACGTACCATTAGATTTTATTGTTAGGTTTATAAAGGAAATTGAATGCACAAATATATTTTACTTAAATCAATAAAAAAAAAAAATTTGTATAAGTTAGCGTTTGTAAAATAAATGGTCGATATTAGGAGCTACAAAATGGGACTTTAAATTTTGTATATTTATATATGTATACTAATTTATCAAATAAATCAGCGCATTCTATAAGTATTTGTTTCATGAACATCTGAAAGTTCACCTTTAAAATTAACATCAATTACAAAATCCAAATCTCGATTGTTTCGTTGATTTGGTTTCATTTTAAATGTACCAGTGATTTCTTCACCTTTCTTAACTGTCATGTAGTCATCGAGATAAAATACAGTTTGCTTCCAATGTGTATACGTAGCATCTGGTGATGTACTAAAACCAAGACGTTTGTGAGACTTCGTAAATTCAATATTAAAATACGTAACCAACGCTTGAACAAAATCATTACGCTTTATGGTTAAATTAAATGGCGTTGAAAACTCCAAATCCGACTTCTTTACTGTATATAAGTCAACTTCTTTTACTAAATTTGAATTTGACACTACTTGTTTTGGATCAACAACATCCACAAGCGGCTCAGTTACAGCAACTTTACGAATACAACTCATATCAAATCCATACACATTATCCCACCAATTGATTTTATCATCCTTGTATTGACGGTCTTCAATTGCTGTAATGTACAGCGTTCCACGGTCAGGAAACATCATGCCATCAGGTTTCAGCCACTTATCCCTAGCATACAATACGGTATCCAGCATTGATTCATAGAAAAGGCAATACCTGGAACAAAATTTCTATGTTAAACATATATTGTAAACTCCATCTAATTTTAACTACATTAAAAAAAGAGTAGTAACGGCAAATTTTTCAGTTACAAAGCATTACGTTGAAAAAGCCGTTTGATTCAAATGCAATAATAGATGTGAACGTGTACTACGGATAAAAATATATAGTTTATGTTTAGGAAATTAAAAAGGAAAAATATTACTATTGATTATAGTATAAAATCATATTTGGGTTGGACCAAATTAGGATTTAGTTTGGATGGCACTTAAAGACTTTCTTTGTCAATTTTAACATAACTAGTAAAACCAAATATTTTATTTTATTTTTAAATAATATAAAAAATTAAGCGAACTAATTCTTATAACTAAGTAGTATTAAATTTACAGTTATATAAATTATATTTTTTCTATTTGTAAACTTACCCCATCCACTCTGAGATGATAATATCAACTTCTTTGATACCTAAAGGTAAATCAACTTCTTCTATTTTCCCTTTAACAACATGAATTATCCCTTCAAGATTGTTATCAATAACAACTTGTCTGGCGTATTCAACAATATTTGAACAGTCTACTGCAATAACTTTTGCTGCTCCTGCTTTAGCTGCAAACATCGACAATATACCTGTTCCACAGCCCACGTCTAACACAACCTGAAAAATTTAACAAAAAAAAACTCTGAAATAATTGCTTATTTATTGAATATAATATTTTACTTTATCTCTGAAAAGATGTTTGTTGTGATACATAGCATTACGGTATGTGATAGTCCTCACTTCATCCTTCAACATTTCTTCATGAATCCCAAAATGCGCATAAGAGTCAAAGTAATAATCTCTAGATGTCATCTCGTCAGCAGATGCTGGTGTCGTGGGAGAATCTTTTGTCGGTACATTATTAAAACCAGTAATTGCATTACTGTCATTTGCAGTTTGCATTATAATATCATCTGACTACCGGCAGAGAAGAATATATAAATAATCATTAACACAAATATATATGTTTATATCGTACCATAGTATCGTCTAGAGGTGTCTATTGATGTTCACTAAATAATGCTGTTCGTTGATTTAAAAATTTAGACTTTAAACTATTTTAATTTATATTCACTTGATATAAAATATCTGTTACACTTGGATCAAACTACTAATGATCCTAAAATTTTGTGAAAAAAGCGCAGCTACCGCATGTCGGCAAGTTACTCCGGAATGCTTGTAATATGGCGCATATTTTTCAATTATAATTATCGATGTCAATTTTGTTTGGCAAAACCCTGCTTACACATACAATATCGCTTGACAGCTTATGTACTTATATGAGCACCGTTAATCTCAAAATATTTTTAAACACAACATATGTCGATGTTTATAAGAGATAATAATTTTGTTTTTAACAAATAGAACAATATCAATATTGCTTGTAAAATATGACAAGAAAAAAGATTAGTACATTAAAATAATTAAATTTTTCACATGCAAGATAAAAAAACAGGTGCATCCACACCAAAGCAAACGCTTGCGCACGAACGAATATTCTCCTTAATATATATATATGTAATGTTTAATAAGAAATTCGATATAGTTTATTTTACGATATAAAAAAATATAAGAATTAAAGATATAATATAACATTAAATTTTCAGAAGATTTAAATTTTTTTTTTATTTGTATGTAACAATTGTTTATTATATACACCTCTGCATAAACTTTATAAAATTATATATATGTAAAAAACAAATGAATATAATAAAGCTAATTATTTTGCATTTTAGAATAACATATTTGAAAAAAGAACATTAATTTGTGTTTAATATATATAAATAATGTAAAGATTAATATAAAGACATAAAAAAGAAGTAAAACAAAGATGAGATATAATAAAAACCTAAATAAATCGAGCTATTAATAAAAATTTATACTAAAAAAACTTTATAATAAGTAGCAATATATTAACAAGAAGTTAAGTAGAGTGAATTTAAATTAATATAGAATACATATAAGTTACACAAAAAACTAAAATTTAATACCTAAAAGTAACAGCAATAAAACTGCAAGTAATTATGCTTATATACGTATCATTTAACATGTTGCTCTAATATTTTATATATTGCCTTTTAGTTGTTATTATATGCGTTACACAATGTAATTTCGTTTTTAATTTTTGAATTGTTACGGCAAAATTATTTTAAAATCGATTTATTTTTTTAAGAATATTAACTTTAATTTCAACAGTTAATTTTCTGTATATTTCTATATGTATTTCAACAAATTGGCTTTTGCCTTCATCAGGAGAATTCCTAATATTAAGCGTTATACAGGACGCACAGGAAAACATGCTGATCTACGGTTCGTCATCAGTTGAAAGATAAATAAATTATAATAATTCTAGTATAGTTAATGCTTAGTTTGAGGGAGAGATAAGCCCCCACCCATAAAAGAGTAAAAGTACGCAATAGCACTAACTCAAATCACAACAACAACAACAATTTAATTAAAATGAAATTAAGATAATTTGGAAAGTATTTATTTTACTCCAAATTAAGGGAATCATATGTTTTTTGTTTACAAATCCAATGTTTTAAATTACATACTCTACTGAATGCATAAAGGATTCAATAGTTTCATTCAGTAATTTTATTAGCTTTATTGGATTTCAGGTATGTGAATTAGTATTATTCATTCTATTGTAAATTAATAACAGTTACAGTTTTTGCTCTATATTTAAATATTTTTCCGGTTTTATTAAAATCAGCTGTTTTTAAAAATAAATGTCTCTTTTTTGTCTCAATTTATTTCTTGCGTAAAATTTATTTTTCGAATAGTTTCATTTGAAGTTTTCTTTAATTTAAAGTTTCGTTTCAATGAAATTAAGGCTATTTTCCTTAATTTCGTTCTAACCTTAAAATTGAATTTTGTATGGAAAAAATAACTTAATTTCGCTGAAATGAAGACGAAATTAAGATTTTTTTGAAATTAGTGTGTGTCCGAACATTGTAATGTACCACATATGTACGAGTATGTATAAATGTTTAATAAAATAAAATTATTTTATAAATATATATAATGAATTCATGATGATAATTGTTGTTTTAATATCAACTAATATCTACTGTGAACATTGATAATAAATTCAGCAAATAAAAATGCATAATATAACAATTAAAGAAGCTAATTATTGTAAATCAAATAAATTTAATTGTTAACATGATGCCATAAGAATGTTAATATACTATTTTTAAGTTATAGTTTCCTTTTTAAAATATAGTGATAGTTATTTTTATATTTAATTTTATTATGTATTCTGATGTTATTAAGTATATAACGTAAAGGACATCATGCACTCGTGTATTCGGTCTAATTTTCCAATGTTCATAAATTTGTTTTTAACGTGTGGTGGTAACACTTGTTTATCGATAACATCATTTTGTTGTTGGCATCACTTAGCAGATGGCATGTCAATATTGGAATTTGGCGGGATTTTAGCAAAAACAAGCATTGAATCGTTTGCAAGGACTGTAGGATTGTCAGCTAAAAAGTAATCTATATAAAATTTTGATAATGGAGGGTTTCGATGAAGCAGGACTTTTCTTCTCGGACAACTTTGGTCCAGATGCTCAAGATGGAAATCAAATTAATATGCAAGCTATTAAAAAAAAGTACAAAGAATTTCTACGTACTTTTAATGAGGATAACTTCTTTTACAAATACAGGTTTGCTTAGTATGTAGTTCCAATAATTTTGTATTATATATATATTTTTTGTGTTCAATAGAGATACTCTGCGAAGAAATTACCTCAATGGTCGTTACTTTCTCGAAGTTGAATTGGAAGATTTGGCCGGATTTGATGAAACTCTTGCTGACAAATTAACCAAACAGCCAACGGAACATTTGCAAATATTTGAGGAAGCCGCACGTGAAATAGCTGATGAAATAACGGCACCACGACCAGAGCACGAAGAGCAAGTTCATGATGTACAAATTCTTCTTACGTCGAATGCAAATCCAACAAATGTGCGAGAACTTAAATCAAATTGTGTATCAAAGTTAGTTAAAATTGCAGGCATAATAGTCGCTGCATCTGGTATTAAGGCAAAAGCCACACGCATGTCAATTATGTGTCGCTCATGCAGTACGGTAATACCCAATTTAAAGGTTAACCCCGGCTTAGAAGGGTACGCTTTGCCCCGAAAATGTACAACAGAACAAGCCGGACGACCAAAGTGTCCACTTGACCCATTCTTTATAATGCCAGATAAATGCAAGTGTGTTGATTTTCAGTTACTGAAATTACAAGAATTACCTGATTTTGTGCCACAGGGAGAAATTCCTCGTCACTTACAATTGTTTTGCGATCGTTCTTTATGTGAACGAGTTGTTCCAGGCAATCGTGTTCTTATTCAAGGTATATTTTCAATAAAAAAAATTGGGAAGCCCTCGAAACAGGATGGTCGTGAAAAAGCAGTAGTTGGTGTACGTGCACCTTATATGCGAGTTGTTGGCATAACAGTTGATACAGAAGGATCTGGTGCTATATCACGTTACAGCAACATCACTGCTGATGAAGAAGATATGTTTCGGCGTATGGCAGCATCGTCAGATATCTATGAACGACTTTCTAAGTCACTAGCTCCTAGTATCTTTGGATCTGATGATATAAAGAAAGCTATTACATGCATGTTATTTGGTGGTTCGCGTAAGCGTTTACCGGATGGTTTGTGTCGTCGTGGTGACATAAATGTTTTATTGCTTGGCGATCCTGGTACAGCGAAATCACAATTGCTGAAGTTCGTGGAAAAAGTGGCTCCAATTGGTGTTTATACTTCTGGCAAAGGTTCCAGTGCTGCAGGCTTAACAGCTTCAGTGATGAAAGATCCCTCAACTGTAAGAAATTGTTTCTTCATAATAAATATCTATTGTAGTTAATATACAATTTTTTAATAGCGCAATTTTGTGATGGAAGGTGGAGCAATGGTGCTTGCAGATGGTGGAGTTGTTTGTATTGATGAATTTGATAAAATGCGTGAAGACGATCGAGTTGCTATACACGAAGCAATGGAACAGCAAACCATTTCAATAGCTAAAGCTGGAATTACAACGACGCTCAATTCTCGGTGTTCTGTATTAGCAGCGGCAAACTCAATCTTCGGTCGTTGGGATGACACAAAAGGAGAAGAAAATATTGACTTCATGCCTACAATTCTTTCTCGTTTCGATATGATATTTATAGTTAAAGATGTACATGATGAAACACGAGACGTAATACTAGCCAAGCACATCATAAATGTACATCTTTCATCGAATAAAAATGCAGCAATAGAACAGCCAGAGGGGGAAATTTCTCTTTCTAATTTCAAGAAGTTTATACATTATTGTCGTACACGCTGTGGTCCTCGTCTGAGCGCTGAAGCTGGTGAGAAACTAAAGAGTCGTTATATATTAATGCGCAGCGGTGCTGGCCAACAGGAGAAAATGGCTGATAAGCGTTTAAGTATTCCAATTACTGTGCGACAACTGGAGGCCGTTATACGCATATCTGAGTCTTTAGCCAAAATGCGTTTGTTACCTTTTGCCACAGAAGAACATGTGAATGAAGCTTTACGCTTGTTCCAAGTATCTACTTTAGATGCGGCTACGACCGGTAGTTTAGCCGGTGCGGAAGGTTTTACCACAGAAGAGGATCAGGAAAGCTTGAATCGAATTGAAAAGCAGCTGAAAAGAAGATTTGCAATTGGTTCACAAGTGTCGGAACAAAATGTTATACAGGTATGTACCAATATATGATAAAAAATTGACTTCCTTCAGCCTTTGTTAATACAAAATCTTTAAATATTTTTTTGTATTAATCTTTATAATCTTTATTTACTAATAAGCATAAAATATAAATTTTGTAGGACTTTTTGAGACAAAAATATGAAGAACGAGCTATTATGAAGGTTATACACACCATGATAAGACGTGGGGAGTTGCAACATCGCATGCAGCGTAAGATGTTATATCGTTTATGTTAATTTTTTTTTATTGTTAAGAAATTATTTAATTTACTCCAAGCTCAAAAACACAAAATAAAAATAGAAATAGATATACTTTTAATAAATAAAATATTAATAAAAAATTTTTATATTCAATGCAAAATTTTTCTATATGATGCCAATCTATCAATCGTCACGTTAGAGAATTTCCACTTAAGCATTATCTTGGGTATAAGATTATTGTTTAAATATTCTTTTTTAAAAATTTATATTTCTCGGCATTATGTCAATATCTCGTTTAAAATTTCTTGCTGTAATGCATCAGAATGGAATACAAGAAAAATGTGGCTTCAATAAACACAGATTTTTGTTTATTTAAAATAATTTCACAAAGGACCATTTGTCGTGTAAACTTCTGTGCTTCTTCGCCTAGTGAATTTATTTTTAATCTGCAATCAAATTTGTTTTGAATTTACTAGAAATTATTCATATACATACATATATATATAATTTAAATAATACATTTAGTTATGTCTTAATGAATTTATTGTGGGGCACGTTTATGAAATTGATTTAATTCTTTCATACTAACTCTTTCATTAAGATATCAAAATAATTTTATTTTCTTGTTTATATTCAAAATTTGCATAAAATGTTTTGATGACGTCAAACTATGGATTCATTCATATTTGATTTGGTCGGCAGCCAAATTTATTAAAAATAATTGTCATGAAAATAATAACATATGTTGTATTTAATCTATTTTAGGCTAAGTTCAAAATTATTAAATATTTTCTATAGCTTTGTTATACAATTAATAATTTGAATAAACAAAAACTGAACAATGTAAAAAGTATTAAATTTAAACTAAAGAAATGAACTATAAGAAAAGTTTTAAAGGTATCTGTTCTTGTTGTGGAAATCCGCTGGCACCTGCTTGTTTCCCTTTGAGGGCTGTTGAACGGCACTTTGTCGTCGAGATTGACGAGTGGCTGCGGAACGTAGACCAAGTCGTTCTTGGAACCAAAGGTATCTCTTCGCTATGGATACTTGATGAGTTCCAACAATTGTACTGAAGCTTTTAAAACAGAAGGATAACAACAGAAGCGAATATAAATATTTAAGGTGAAAAAACGTGTCCCACATGCAGTAAGAACTGTTCTAACCCAGCTGAGGTTTGAATATAGCTACTTGTTAATTAGTTGTATGTCGCGCATAAATATGCCTGTCATTAATGTGTTCTCCAACTGCATCTTTACTATATATCATTTCATCCATCTATTTTCATGTAGAACTGCAAATTTGAGTCCTATTGATATATAGTTTTGCCCTTCTATTCTATTGTAGTTAGGTTCAATACATTTATTTCCTTACTCCTACCTTAAACCACTTTACTACCGTCATTGCTTTTTATAATGCAAGTTCTGTATTCCTTTTATATATATTTTTTCAGGTCAACGAGTGCTCCAACCTTAATAATAAGTAAAAAATAGACTGTAAGTAGTAAAAGTAAACTGAAGTCATGAAAAGTTTTTCGGTAGAAACTGCGAAGTATGTGGAAGAGTTGAATTGTAGTTGTAATTCGCGGGGTCTGAAAAATGTTAACATGAAACGATTTACAAGACGATTACATGGGTAAGCATGTCGTTGAGTGGTGGTTGAAGGGGGGTGGGGGACTATGGAGAAGGACGGCTATTGAGATCGTAATCTCAATTGAGCTAGGAGAGCTCTTGCTGAGCGTGGAAGACGTCCTTCTTTTTGAAAGATGTTAGGCGAAAACCTATCTGCTCAGCCTCTGTTAGGTTTGGAAGAGAATACTACAGCTGTGTGAAGGACTGTAAGTCCACTTTTGGAAGAATCAAATAGAACTATTTGCTTTATGTAAAAAATAGTATGTTATCAGTTATTTTACTAGTTGATATAGGAAAGCAGTATTAACATAATTCTTCAGAGTTTTATAAAATAACTTTCATATTATTATGTATGCTAAAATCTATCCAACTAATTTTGTTAAATATTCATAGGGATTACATTTTTAAATGGTTGAAATTATTTAACTAATATTACGATATATATTTGATTATGATTACAAACTGTTTACATGTCCTAGAGCAAACAAAAACTTGAACCGTATTGATTTTTGACTCCAATCTATTGTGGAAAAATTTCTTCATCTTGATCCGGCTCTTTTATGAAAATAAAAGAAGTATTTTGAACTGATAAGAAGTAAATATTAGCTTGAGAGGGTTACTGTTATGACAAACCTGTATTAATTTCTTATAATGGAACTTTATACATAACAAATCACTATCTCAAGAGCATAGATCACTTTCCATAGAAGCCTTGTATTTTCAGACCACAACTTCATTTAAAACATTTCAAGTTTTTTGCTAGGTATATGGACATGTCTCAAATTGATAATAATATCTTTTTTAGAATAGTTTGGATAGTTTTTACGATATTCGCTACCGGACATGAAGATTCCCTGAATAGTAAAAAGGAATGATTACTGATATTGTAAATTGTTTTTAATTTAACACAAAAGAAATAAAATATTATTGTTCACTGATTTTAATTACAAACATTAGGTTTTTGTGTAGGTTTCGAAAAGTAAAGATAAGAGATAATCAAAAACTGGTACCAAATCTAAATTCTAACTGAATGTTTGTAAAATGTTTGTTTACTTAAGAAAATTACATTTTAGGTGCTTATTCTGTAGTTTATCTCAAAGGGACTAATTTTGTTGTTGATATTGTCTTAGTACCATATTTTGATGATTTTACTGCGCTACTACATTGTAAATATTCAAATGATGGACAAGTACAAATAATGAAATACGAGCACAGTATCTGTCAGATGTATTAGCTTTAAGGTTGTCAGATTTAAACTTGAAGGCTAATAATGTTTAGAAAAAACCTTTTTATATGTACATCAACTTTTTTTAAAACTTTTCAGTTTTAATTGTAAAAAAGAGGTTGTAAGACTTTTCATCACTTCATATGATAACTTTATAGTAACGGAAATGTTACAATAAATAAACAAAGTATTATTATTGTGATGATATATAATAACGATCACAAATTAGAGCTATTAAGAGATGGAATACCTAGAAATTAGAAACAGATTTTGTCATGCATTAAATGCTTTAGATCTTGTGGTTCTCATTCATTTGTGTTTATCTGACCCTATGATGTTACAACTTTGAAATGGAAAATTCACTAAAATTATTCGCGAAAACTGACAGACTTGCTAACACCGCGTTATCAAATCTCAAAATAGTTACAGGCTCCTCGGGGAGGTATGCAGTTCTGAGGTCAAATATTGCTTAGTCTGATGAAGTGATAAACAATAATCTAGTCAAGGTGTAGAGAGGGGTTTTGACGAAACTTCGAGTTAAAAAATAGTATAAGTGCTTAAGTGCACTAGCTCAAAACAGCTTCAACATAATAATATATTTTTGCTTTGAAAGATAACAGTTCAACATTTATATTACTATTGCAACACTTAATTACTTAGTTGGTTATCACAGACGTGAGTGATTCTAGGCCGCGTCTAGTAGCCTCCCTCAGCTAGCCTGATCAGTGACTTGCTGTCGGCAGTTGGCAGTACCAAGCATCCCTAAATCATTGATCATCTGATCCTTCTGATCTGGATACTAAATCAAACACCTTTTAAGCCGGAACACTTTCTTCCATTAACTGTGACACAGACATGTGAAAACATTGGAATTATTTATAGTTCGAAATATTTATATAATAGCCAAATGATGAGTACTTGGCAATACTCGAAATAGCGTTATATGGTCAGCCAAATTTCAATAAAAATTACATACATTTTTGTGTTTGTCCTTTCTTTCTTTCTTTGCTATTCGAAAATCCTCTATAATAGCCAATGCAATAATGGACAAAGACCGTTGTGTGAGCTATCATAACATCCCAATAAAATAAGCAGATAATCTTTAACCCTAAACATTACTGCAACGCCCTTTAAAAATTTAAAAATAGGTGACAAGTTCTATCACATGAAGTGGAGTCAAAGTAAAATGTCAATAAAATTAAAATAATGTTTAATTGGTACCAGCACTGGTTAGATTAGAATAGCGGGCTTTTAAAAGTGGATGAAGTTATGAATCAGGTTTAACTTGTATCTGCACTGCTTAGGTTAGGTTAGGATAGCAGTTAGATTAGCACACCAAAGTCCACTTGAGTGCCATTTTTCATAGATTAGTGTCGTTCATACGCAGACCAGAATGCCCCTCAAAATACCGCAGGTGTCAGCGTCCAGATGATGTTGTAAGGGACGACTCTCCCATTTAATTAAAACTAAATCAACCTGACAAGTTTATAAACTTGGTTATGTATATAATTTCGTGATTACCTTGGAAGTGGGATATTGGTCCCAAGTCAAATAGGTAAAATTAAGCCCACAGCAATTACAAGATTTATAAATAGTCTAAAATTGTCCTAGTTGGGCCTTTAGGCGCACAATAGATCTTTTAGGTCGGGTGCATTAATAGCCTATTACTTAAATAATAATCTTATTTCGTAGGATGACGGCGGATGTCAGATCAGTAGAAAAATGTACCCTAAAGAATTTTAATCTTCTATGTGGGCCAACGTTGTTTAGACTTTAGCAAGATTTTTATCTTCGAATGTAAATATATTATATTTTTAAAATTTATCTGCGAACAAAAATTTGTATGAAATAGAGAGAAAGTAAGAGTGTGTTTAAAAAGTTTAGCTAACATAGTGTTAATGTACTGTAGGAAGATTGACATGCAAGATGCAATCTTGCTCAATTTGCAAATAAGTGTTAAAAAAATAAGAAGGTATTGATTGAGATCGTCTATAAAGTTTTATAACTTGGAAGGCAATTAAAACTACCTTCAACTTCAATCTAAACCTCGTGCTCTTCCACTATCTAATTTTTGAATAACGACTAAAGCCTGGCTTTATCAAGAACGCAAATGAAGGATTATGCGAGAGAAAGTATATAAAAAATAAACAGAATGCGATGTAATCTAATACTGCTGACTCGGGGACATAGCCAAAATCCATATAGTCAAAACAACACAGCACGAAAGAAAGAATGATGGAGAGGGGC